CGAATGCGGTGAGTTGACCTGGGGGTCGGCGTTCGGTGTTACAAGTAACATCGGTCACGTGGCCCCCCTATCATTTTCCCCTCATCCTCGCCCTCACCATCTACCGGCTTGTCCTCCTTTACCGACTTTCCGTTGACCGGATCCTCGGGACCGTTCCCATCCCTCGCATCATCCGCCTCTATGCACGTGCACGCACGTTCCTCTCTTGATTCGACCACCAATGTGGTCCCGCACCTCTGACTCGGTCTGACTCGTGCCACCAATGTGGCTTTCCTCTTTCTGTTTCCCCTGACTGCGGATTCCCGCACGTTGTATTCTTACCGTTGGTCCGTTCCAACGTTTCTCGGTCTCATTCCACATTCGACCATCCACCACTAATCCGGCTCTGATGCCAGCACACCTATACCATTCTTGCTTCCCCTTTACCCTTACCTACTGTGCGGTAGCCTTGCCCTTAACCCTCTCCACTTAGTATAAGTAGTCGGTCACACTGTACTAGATTCTCTAACTTGAATCTACTCAATCTTCCCTGGAACATACTTCCCTCTGAAGCCCCCCTCAGCTTCAGTCTCTAGTATCTTTTCTTAGTCGCTCATCGCGACTAAGTCTACCTCAATCGACCTCATCGTTCGGACAAGACTGTCCTTACTTTGAGTGACTTCTCACGACATCCATCTACGAAGTCACGTGACACGCGCGTACTGTGATCGCTGCCGACTCGTCGTCGCCAGGCTCACTTGCCATACCGGACCCTTCCGGTTACGTCACGAATGTTAGCGGACGACACCCCTCTTAGGGCTCCGCCTAACAGATCTATTTGAGTGCGTAACATTTGGGGGCTTTGATCCAACGTATCGAGGCTAAGCTGTTGATCTTGAGCGAGTTTTCTTCTTCCACGAGCCTTAGGAATTGAGGTCTGTCGGTATGGAGACTGGTAGAGAGATATTGGATTATTAGGGCATATGTTTGGTCGCGGAAGTTGATTGGGGTCTTGAGTGCTGTGGTCAGTTTCGTTCTGGCCTCTGCAGTGTGCATCCATTTGGCTGACTCTTCCGTGTTTAGCTCCATGATGATACCTCTGTTTTTCAGTTGCATGACTGCCTTGATGTCCGTGTTCGCAATGTCGTCTGGTTTTACCAACTTCAGTGCATTTCGCAAAGTGTCGACTATTTCTGCGTGAGTGACATTAACTGGGAATATACGATTACCTGGTGTTGGGTCTATAAGGATTTGGCGTGCTCTGATCGCTGCTCTGGCTAGTGCTTGGTCTGCTGGTCCAGGGGTGAATGAACGTACGGCATCGCTGAACGTGGGTGTTCCATTCGCCATCGATGGGTGGATTTCCGGCTGGGATTGTAATTCGACAGATAGTGAGTTGATCTTGTTTTGAGCTGAGTCGAGAGATGGGGTTAGTAGTTTCATGGCGTTTTGGCAGTCTTCGGCTGAGTGGTAGAAAGCGTCCGCGGCTTCCTCGATTCTTTCTGCTGATGTTTTGAGGTCTTGTTCTTTTTCTTCGCGTTCTCTTGATAGTGAGCGTTGGTTTTCTTCAGCTCGGTCTAGGGTATCTGTTAGCGTCTTCGTGAATGTTATTACCTTTTCCATTTGAGGGATTATGACTGCCGCGACTTGATCCGCTACAGATGAATCTTTAGGGTTGGCCATGTTGCTCGACGTTGAATTGCTCGAGGAGATGATGATTTCCTGTCTGTCTATTAGCTTTTCCATTCTGTCAAACATGCCTGACATTTGAAGTGTGGTTTCTTTTGCGATGCGTTGAGCTTTCGCGGTGTAATCTGCTTGGTCCAGCATAATTGCGATTGCGCGTATAATGTCGACGTGCAGTCTTGTGAGTCCTGGGGCTTGAAGCGTGAATTCGAGAAGGGATTCAATTAGGGATTTGATTGAGGCTCCGGATACGGGTATCATCATGCCTCGACTGGTCAGCTCGATTCTGGCTGTGGCCGCGTCTATTACATTTGATGGGTTCTGTGGGTTGTCTAGTATATCAGGAATGGATCTGTTAGTAGGGCGGAGGTATTGATCTTTCTTCCTTTGGCTTGATCTTATTTGATTTTGGGCGGGTGAGTCGTCAGTCGAGTTGTCCCCAGGCATTTCTGTGTGAAAAGTATCCAATAGAGGATGATTAGGTTTTTTAATAAAGTTTTATAAGAGAGAGAAGGTCAGTGGTTGACGCTTTTGGCGTCAGTAACGCTGTTGAGCGCTATGTGGACTAGGTTTTTTTGGGGTCCTGGTCGGGGTGCCACTTGGTGTAGGTCCAAGAAGCGATTTCAGGCACACTTAACATAGGGATGTCTTCATTATCCTGCACGAGCCTTGAATCTCTCAAAGTAGGCTTAGATGGCAAATTAGATTCAGGATTGCCCTTAAAAAGATGAGAGGGCATGAGCGAGGGCACATATTTATCCTCTTAGGATAGACTGGTGATAGAGTTCAGTGGTACCACTAAGAAGGCACTGGATGATAAAGCACTCAAATAGGTAGACTCATTGTCATTGTTGAACGACAGATGGATGACAAAGACATTAATGGGGTCTTCTTTTGAAGAGACAGGTGATGGCATTGACACGATAGATGCAGGTAGGGAATGGGTCATGATATGCTTGTCTTGTTCTATAGATGATAGAACTAGAGTGAGCACATTATTAAAATTTATCATTTCAATGCTCGTATCTTCAAATGTATCACATACTTCACTCTTTCTCAAATCTTGGACTAATAGAAGTTCCCCTTCCTCAAACTCTAGCTTGGTTAGAGGCTCCCTACCCTCTTCTTGTCCATAGGCAAAGTCCTTGAGTAAGACTGTGTCCAGAAGGGTCTCTATAGGCAGGATTATCAAATCAGAGTTAGAGTCTTAAGTCAGGTTATAGTTTGGGAGCAAAGTAGGATCAAAACAAGGTTCATTGATAGTAGAGTGTACAGAGAATATAGGTGGTTTGGTAGTAATGGTGTTAGATAGTATGTTTGAGGTAATGTTATATGGATGTAGAGTGTTAGCAGGTATAGTGGTGTCAGCATTAGGCAAAAGAGTGAGTGCTGGAGTGGCATCAGCATTAGAGAAAAGAGTAAGGCCCGGATTGATGTTAGCATTGATGTTGGCGAAAAGTTGTTAAGAAGGGAGTGAATATGAAGTAGTGTTTGGTTTAGTTAGATTTGGTAGATAATTAGAATTAAAAAAGACATACCTTCCCTATCCTCCAGCTCAGGGATACCTTGCTCTTCTCTAGTGACAGACAATCCCTTCCATTGAACAGTGAATAGAAGGGAGAATAGGTATCCAGTTGCGAGAGGTTGAAAAGTGGAGATAAGGATGTGGGGTAGAAAGAGAGAGTCAAACCATCATTCTCAATAGAAGTGGTGAACCAGAAGTTGCCGTGGTTCTGAAAAAGGAAATTGGCCACTTCAGCATGAGTATTGTCAAACACATGTTCCAGTATTTTCCAAAAATGCAATGAGTTACTAAAAATGGACGTGCATCTGATTTGAGGATGCCTTGTGCTGGATTGTTCAGACACGAGGCTAGTGGGCACTGGGTGCAGCACTGATTCTGGTGCTGCTTTTATAGATTTTAAGAATTCTTTTATTTCAATTTTGGCTAACGGATCCAGATCATTGCTGATAGATTTACTAATAAAATTCTTGGCTTGGAGATCATTTTGCAATTGTTTGGTCACATGACTTTTGAGTTTAGAGTTTTGCACGCTGTAGAGATACAACTTTGGCTGAGTAGGGAACTCATAGTAAGCTCTCAGTCAAGTATAAATGTTGTGGTCTTGCACAGCCTAGTCTACTATACTTGTGAGACAAGTGTGTTCAACCCGAGGGGTTTGCTGTATGGTATTAGAATAATTAGTTATATGAAAAGGAAGATAGTCCAAAGTGTGGGAAACAAAGTCCAAAGGTATAATTACAAGTCCGATGTTTTTTGGATTTTGTGTTAGTGGGTCACCTTGGGTTGTGTCGGTGTAGGTATAACAATTCTGATGGTAATTCAGAATAATGTGTTGGGTCTTGCAGAATATAGCTGCTATTCAACCCTAAAGGGTTTCTGGACCAGGCTTAAGGCTCAGAGAAGAGGAAATGTCAAGAAAACTGCTGAAGACTCTGACTCATAGTGGAACTGGTGAAAAGGTAACTTTATTATGTAAGCTAAGGTGCAAACATAACACTAAGTAAAACAGTCTCAACAAGCCTAGCCAGAAATCAGTTCCTACATCAGGTTAGTGTTGGGTTAGTGTCAGGAATGTAGCAAATGTCTGGGATAGCAAATGTTGGGTGTTTCAAAGTATTTTGGATAAAGAAAGGATGATATTGCAGAATTCAGCTAAGAACTACTAATATCAGATGACCTCCTCCTACTCGGAGGTAGAAAGGTCAAGTCCAGTAATAGGTAGGAGGTATGCAAAATATATAGTGTCTATGTAGAATTTCGGAGTGCTATAGGTGAAAGTAGTAGCAATAATTTTTGGTCCAATGTCCTATATAATAAGACATATGGTACTGCAGACATGTAATAATGTGGTCTACAATGTTAGTGACATGAAAACAAGTAACTGCACACCTAGTGGGGATAGATGCAACAGGACATGACATAGGGAGGACCCAAAACATTGGGTTTCATTGGGTTAGCATCGGGTTAGCAGATAAACATCAGATTAAGTGGGTAAGTGTTGGATAACATTAGGAAGTGATTTGTGTGTGATGGATGTTTGACATACATTGGAAAATAGCAGAATACAAGCCTAGTGCGAGCTCAAGTGCTACAGTGCTAAATTTCAAATTCAGCAATGTTTTATTAATCTTGCAAAACATGGTCATTTCACCCATATTACTGACCCAAGTGGACAGTTCAAAGTCCTAATTAGGACCATTTCTGTCTGGAGTGCATAAAAGTTCATAATGGACTTCTAAATCAGCTGGATTTTGGATAATAACCATGTCCCATCCTTTCTTTCATCAATGGAGACATAGTTTCCTCTTTACTATGGACGACCTAATAATAGACTGAATGGTATGTGATCTCCAACAAATAAATTCATGTGAGTACTAACTCCTCCACAGTCTAGTGGGACATTTTGTACCAATCTGCAAAGTTTGCCTTCACCACCATTTGTGTCATTCATAGATACTGACTTGGCAATATCAATAGGCCTATTAATGATAGTCTTCCAGACATGTTTGTTTACAATATTGAGTTGTGAACCTGTGTCAATTAATGCATTAATTGCTTGACCATCACAATGCATAGCTATTTTGATGAATAGCCTGTGTCTTTGTCTATACCAAATGTGCTTCTATCTTTGAGTCATTAGGTAAGGATTTGGTTTGATAGTGTTAGTAAGGATTCCACTAAGCTCACAGGAAGTGCCAAGAAGCTCTCCCACCTCAAGTCAGATAGGAGTCCTCAACACTGTTTCAAGAATTTTCCTTGGCTTAATCTTAGCCGCTATGTCAGAGACACATTGATGTGTTGTTGTATTCTTACAATCCAAATTTGAGATAGATTTATAAGGTGTTTCATTGGTCTTTGGGTGTTTCTCATTGACCTTCCTCTCATTCACATCATCCATAATAATGTCCTCACTATACCACCCATTATCTAGATCTTTTTCTGTCTCTTTCTTATTTGCAGGCTTTGTCTTTGTGGTTGGAACAGGTTGTATGGACTTAGGTTTGGTATGAGTTTCAGCCTTCTTGGCTTGAGTGGTGGGATAGTACTTTGTTCAATTGTCAAGCTTTGTTCATTCTCACTCTGAACCCACACATTCTCGACCGCTCCGAGAATGTGCATCTATGTTTTCCTTACCTAGGCTCTGCATGGATCTGAACCACTCTTGGGTTCTGACTTAGCACTTTTTTTACCTAGTTATACCTCGGCTGTAAACCTCATCTATACCTAGCCACTACTTGTGGAACCGTGCTTTACCTAGAACCCGCCACTCTTTACCTAGGATCCTCTTGCTTTTATTTGTTTCACATCGTGCTCTCACCGGATCCACGGTGTAGCACTCAAGCTCACGCTAGGCTCGTATTCAGCTATTTTCAAATGCATGTCAAATGCCCGTCACACACGAATCACTTCCCAATGTTATCCGACACTCACCCGCTCAATCCAAAGCTAATCTGCTAATCTGACGCTAATCCGACAAAACCCGACACTAGTCCGACAAACCCAATGTTTCCCGTGCATCAGACCCGATATTTTCCCACGCACTTGTCCTCCCTATGTCTTGTCCTGTTGTATCTATCCCCACTAGGTGCACAGTTACTTGTTTTCACATCACTAACATCATAGAACACGTTATTACATGTCCACAGTACATCATGTCTGATTACATAGGACATTGGACCCGAAAATCAGCACTACTACTTTCGCCTATAGCACTCCTAAATTCTACATAGACACTATATATTCTGCATACCTCCTACCTATTTACTTATCCTTCTACCTCCGAGTAGGAGGAGGTCATCCGATATCCTGTAGTTCTTAGCTGAATTCCACAATATCATCCTTTCATTATCTGAAACACTCCGAAACATCTGACAGTAACCTGCCATTCGCTATCCCCGACATTCACTATATTCCCGATGCTAACCCGATGCAACCCGAGGCAAACCCACTAACCTGAAACCCGAAAACATCCCTGATGTTTTTGACATTGGACTCATAATTATACCTTCGGACTTGTTTCCCATGCTTCGGACTATCTTCCTTTTGTTATAACTGATTATTCTAATACCATACAGCAAACCCCTCAGGTCAAACCCACTTGTCTTGCAAGTATAGCAGACTAGGCTGTGCACAACCACAACACATTTTTATATTGCTGGTTACTTACTTCATGTAGTGCCCAGCAATTGTTGTATCTCTACAATGGTATCACTTTTGCTCTCATCGGCAGACTCACATTTCCAAGGTCACCTTGGTTTTTTCCATTCTGCATTTGCTCCCTTCGCATTTTACTTGAAGGAAGTTAGTGTTCCATGAAAAACTCCGCAGTTTTTAACATCATCGGTTTTTAACATGTCAAAAACTCGAGTGTGTTTTGAGGGTGTCAAAAACTCTAAATATACCACAGAAGTTAATAGATCATTTCAGACTGGTTGAGCATTAAGAAAAGAGCCAAAAAATCTCCAGAACGACAGCCCTGCTACCTCTCTTCAACTATGAGCCTCTTTCAGACAGTTATCAGCATTGATACCTCATTAGAGAGGCTCAAAACTGCATTATCCCATCTCCCAGACAATATACCCCTAGGAAACCAAAGATACAACTTTGAACACTTCTCTCCCGATCCTGAAAAGATTGAATTATATGGGACCTCGGAGGCAGCAATCAACCATGAGCTTGAAGTGACCTTTGCAAAAAAAGGACGAAGAGATGACTCTGCACCTTGCCCATTTGAGTTCGAAGAATGCGGGCCTGGTCTCACTGCAGTGGTCGATGTGTTACGGGCCGTGCTGCATAAAGATCCTAATTCTGTGATACTGCAGAAATGGACAAAAGATCTCTCAAAGGCTGCGGAGTATCATTATAAGGCTGCAAACAAATAGGTGAACTTAACAGTTGAATACACAAACAATAGTCTGAATGACTTAGTTGCATCATGTTTATAAGATTCCTGCTCAAAAGATGGTTGACGTTGAACCCGAAGTGGGTGATAACATAGTAGAGGCCTTAACCATCAATCACTGTGATTATGTGGACGTTCCAGAACCAGTTCCAAAAGGGAAAGGGGGATGTCCAGGGGATCCTTGACTTGTGTGCCTATCTTCGGTTCGAACCCAGAAAACCGAAGATTTTGCTTTATGGCTTTACACCCTTATCTTAGGAGACGGGTTACACGATCATGTATAGAAAGTGAAGCTGGGCATCTTCACTGGGTCCCACAGTCATGTGATTCGGCACATGATTGAATAACGTACAAAGAGCTCAACATATAATAAATCCTGGCATGAGAGAGAGACCCATTCCTGGTCGTGTGTCTAGATGGTGCCTAGACATAACTCAGTCCCTGAAGGTGACTCCAAACAGGGTGGTCAAGGTCCATCATGTGACTGGACTCCACTCGGTATACCATAAGAAGTAGTTGATCACTCTTAAGAAGGTCGGATTAGGGTAGCGGTCAAGCTCTCTGATGAGCCCCTTCGTCCGGGTGAAATCTGTAAACCCACGAGCAATTAGCTGCCACAAGAAGAATGACCCCAAAAAGGTTATCATATTTCGCTGTGTAGGAACAGCCAAGGGGTACACGACAGCCTGGAAATGCGAAACTCACATCAAAAAACATATATTTGGACATGCCACTATATGCGAGCACATTCCTTGTCCAATGAAAGAGGAACTTGATGGTGGCTTAGCTGCCGATGCACCTTCGGCAAAAGTGGCCCACCTCCAAGCATCCAAACCCAAGGCAGTATCCAGTACCCCCAGTGTACCATCAACCACAACCAAAAGAACTTCAATGCAGCCATCTGTGAAGCAGATCTTAAAGAAGGCCTGTCTGGACCAGCAAACAAATCAACTCGACGCTGACATTGTGGAATTATTCTGCGTCGGAGGCATTCCTCCCAGCAAAGTTGATTTACCTCAGTGGAAGATTATGTGGTGGCACACTGTTCCCTCCTATGAACCGGCTTCAGCCTCCAAGCTTGAAGAGTACCTGATACCAGCAGAAGCAGGATTTGTTCGAACCAAGCAGTTAGAACATCTATGGTCATGCAATAATCTTAGCATGACACTCGATGGACAAACAACGCGCTTACCAGAGTCAGTTTATACAGTGCACATTATCACACCTATTTGCCACATCTTCCTGTTTGAGGGCAATGAAGCCTCTGATGAATCCCACACTGCTGAGCACATTTTGAGGTCCTTAATGAAGTAAGTATGTATTGGTATTATGTGCAAAGAAATAGCTTACATAGTCACGAACTTAGATTCTCATTCATATTGGTCCAAAGCACTTCTCTGGCATCTGCTCAGATGACACAGGAAATACTCGAGTAGCAAGAAAGAAAGTTCAAAAGAAATACCCATGGATTATCAACATACCCGACCCTTGTCACCGAATGAATCTCCTCATCAAAGATATCTGCACTATCCCAATTTTCCAGCCAGTAAGTTTGACATTCATCTCAAGTACTCAACTGTTACAACACTGTTCTTGATAGGCTATCAACACGACATGTTGAACTGTGAAATTCTTCAAGAAGTCAACATTTGCAAATTCCAAGCTCAAGCAAGTGCGCAAGAAGCAAGAAATTACCCGAGGTTTGGTGTCGATTGGGAAGACACATTTTGGATCGTTGTACTTTGCTGGATCATCAGTGCAGCGCTCTTTGCCTGCCATTCGGGAACTGTGTGGAAATAAGATCATCAAGATACCGGTGAAGGTACAACAATTCAGATGGTGAGTCTGAACAATGTTGGGTCTTGCAGAACCTAGCTGCTATTCGACCCTAAAGGGTTTCTGGACCAGGCTCAAGACTCAGAGGAGAGGAATTGTCATAAAAACTGCTCAAGACTCAGACAGACTCATACTGGTAACTGGTGAAAAGATAACTTGATTATGTAAGCTACAAAGTGCCAACATAAGGTAAGGTAAAGACAGTCTCTACAAGCCTAGCCAGAAATGAATCCCTACACCGGTATGTTACTACTACATGATACAAATCTGTACTGATTCAGATAATTTGTGATAGGATGTGAATGACTCGTTCATGCCCGACATGCATGAGTCATTGGAGTTTCAGCTCCTTTTATCTCAGCTTCTGGCTGTCACAGGTCCACCAGCAAAAGCAACAAAGTGCTTGGAATCTTCGTTTGCGACTGCTGCCAATGTATATGCCTTCTGGCTTGCAGTATAAGCTTCTTACAAAGAGCTTTTCAAGAAAAATGTCATTAAATTGCCTGTCCATGTCCTGGAGAAGATACACCGACTTTCCAACTATCGCTTCAATCAAACCATCAACAGTGCACCTTCAGATACATTTATAGTTGCATTTTTCTTGATACCTCATACATGTGATCCATTCAAACCTGTGGTGTCATTGTTAGCTCACTAGTGGTGATAAAGGTTATTAAGATGCAGCTATCCTCAAGAACATCAATCCTCTCGCTCTTACACTGATTCACATTCATCATGCTAATCTATCAGCTTCTATTATGGCGGATGACAATGTCATTCTGCAGCGCATTGGCAATTTCCTTGTGTCACAGCTACAGGTCGAATACGAATCAAAGGAGTACACTATCCATGGCCTAGATGGTAACATTGCTCTTGCAAAGCTCAATGAGCAAATTATTGCATATTCAAAAGGAGCCTGGCCTTTTAATTGTCCTCTTACTGATGATACAAACATTCTCAAGTACTGGACAGGCTTCCTGGATCACGACAATGCCAATATTCTTGCGGTATGTAATTTGCAAGTGTAAGTGCAGGATTGTTTTAACTTGTCTTGCGTCTTGTCAAGTTCTTCGGAGTCAAGATTTTTTCAATCACAGTCAACTCAATGGCCGACGAATGTGCAGCATCAACTATCACCTGGTTGAACTCTGCTCTCTGCAATCGTCAGAAAAGCACTACTCTTATTAACCAAGTCCAAATCCGACAGTGGCATTTAATGACCCTTGAAAATGTGTGTCAGATATCCCTCTCATGCAGTCTATTATTCTTATTGTTAACAGAATAAGAGTCCTCACCCAAAACCAACTGTCAAGTTTCATGACCTCGATGAAACCATTTTTGGCCAGGAAATTGATGGAAATGAGGATAAAGCAGGTGATGGTTCCAATGAAGATTCAGATGTATGGCTTGATGGCAGCATTGATCTCATCAATGAGGATGACCCTGGATATCTGTGCTGCAGTAACCAGGTGTTTATTGGTAGCGAGAATGATCATCTAGATGGTCCTGAGCTCCTGGACTTTCTCTCTGACAAGATAATCAAGACAAGAACTCAAAATCAGCGGCAAACACCTGGACCATCTTCAGAGGTAGCTGATGGTGGTCCTGTAGCCTGGAAGTTTAGCTTTTCTCAAACTCTGTAGTATGAAAATCATGATAGTATGGTTGGTGTCAATAACTAGTTAAAAACACATGTTAATAACTGGCCTAGGGATACCCTAAGTTAAAAACATGTCCAAAACTTGGCAGGGAGTTTTTTATGGAATACTAAAGGAAGTGCTTCATAGCAATCCTCTTGGGTTGAGGCAGTATACCCGCACTTAGTTAGATTTATTGATGCTCTAGCTTTCTTGCTAGCCAGCTACTATTACTTCTTCACATCGCTGTAGTACTTCAATAATCATTTCTTCAGGTAACCATCTTATGGCTCTTCCATCTGGTTTTCCTATTTGCCCATTGTATGTATGCTGTAGTTTATCATCAGTGATTAGTTTATTTGTTTGTGGATACATTGGAATACCATGTCCCTTGTCGCCACAACCAAAGCATGTACATTCATTGAAAGTGTATTATAACTATTATCAGCTGATAGATCTGCATAGTTTGGTACTGTGAGTACACCATGACCGAGTTGCAGCAATGACCAATGGATATGCAGAACTTTTGCCATACTTTGAGGATTATTGTGGCACCATGACAAGCTCAGCATTAGTACAGCCTTGGAAAGGTTGCACTGTTTATACTTGGCATCAGTTCTTAGGTAAATAAAGTTACATTCAAATAATAAAACACTTTAATATTGATTCTACTACTACTACAGCTGCACATAATATATCACTACAGCATCAAATCTGCAGCCTATCTGCTTCTTTCAAGCTTGCTAGTGTTGCTGACAGTAATACATACATCAAGCTCACAAGTCTAACATTTTTAATGGAGCAGAATGTATTGCATTCACTTGCAGAGGGAAAAGTGATCACATCCTACAAGCATATTGGGCTATTAGAGTTGTGTGGAAACTGTCAATAAATGTTTGCAGAAAGTGCATTGCAGGTGCACATATTAGCATGCTCAAAAGATTGAATGTTATATAGTGTCTCAGTTTGGCTTATTAGAATTTTTATGTTATGTGTAGGTGAGAAGGTCCTAGGGGTCAGGCATAACTAAGTAATGTCACCTTGCATGTACCTTGTTCTTCTTGAGTTTGGGAACCAATAAATTACAGAACAGTAATAGGTCACTCATTACTTGGTTTATATATATAATGACATAAATTATGAGTAGACTTTGGAACTTATTGACAACACCTCACCTTATGCACTAACAGGCTCTATGTTAGTTATAATGTCTCTGCAATATGCATTAACTGACAACTTCTTTTCCAGCTGTGCTGCAGAGCACAAGGCCCCCCTAAACACCACAAACAAACTATGTAATGCTACTGGAAATATCTGTTATAATAAGAAATACACTGGGGTAGTCTGGGAAGTATGTAGTGCATTTAATCTTTTATTGAAGGTGGTAGCTGTAATGTCATGCTTCACTACATACCCCCCATTATTAAGTAATTTGCACAATATTGCAACTCATATCTTGCTAGTCATCCCTGTTACTATGATATGGAAATTATGATAGTTTGCAGAGCACCAGTCCAATAGAATCAATAGGATCAATGACATGCATTAATACAGACTTGGAAAAAACTGAGTGACTCAGACTATTCTACTTGACTTCTATTCTCTGACATCTCTCCATCACTGAGCTGCTTACCATCACTCATATCTCCTTGATCTCTCCCATTTTCCCCACTACCATTCTGAAACTCCTCAATTGCATTTTTGATCTTGTCATCAGATAGACAGTCATTATTTGCAATGTTAATTGAATCCACTTTGGCATGTATCCTGCAGTATTGCATTGAAAATTATATACATGTTAGCCACAATAAGACAATAACATACTGGCTAGTGACATTGATCTTCTTACAGATAGCATCAAGTATTCCCAAGTCCTTCATATACAAATGAAACCTGTTGAGGTTGGCAAGGTGTTTGTCATAAACTGCTTGGTACTTATCGCCTGAAAAACTGATGTCAACACGATTTCCATTGAGCCACTTGTCAATGCAGCATTTAGCCCGTGATAGACATTACTATGTGAAATCAGGACTCAAATTGCATCACTTACTGCTGTGTAGCACAAGGTCATGATAGGTATTGCAAATGGTGTAAATACTTTGCAAATACAATATCTTCATCCTTTTTGTTGCAGTACCAGACTAGATTGGTGGCCTTCTGAGTTAACTTTGTCCAAAACAGGCCACTATGAGGTACCTTTTTCTTTTTGTCACCAAGGTTTTTCAATGAAGTCATAAGTATATCATGAAACGCAACCAACATCAATAACTCACATCTGTATCATTGATATTCTATGAAATTAAATATATGTTATTAGTTAGTAATCTTAATATAGTCCTACTACGTACCATGGAACCAATAGCATCAGCGATATCATACAAGTGAGAGAGGCCAGCAGTGTGACTACCAGGATTCACTGTTCAGCAAGTATAAGATGGATGCTGCTGAGCACAGCATAGAGAACACCAATAGAGTGTTTTATTTAATATAGATGCTGGAATGTTGTTGTGAATATTGAGACTGACAGGTGAGGTCGACATATGTACTTCATATACAATGGTGTTATTTAGAAAAAGTGAATCTGGAAAATGCCAGAATCATCGATTGTCTGACTTGAGCTTGATCATTTGAGGCAAACATAAGAATATTGTATACATTCACATTCAACTACATCTACAAGTACAGAATGAAATACTATTCAAACATTAACAGAGGAGCTGATGAGGACTGCAATCATGAGGTGTGTCGTGTATTAATTGTTCTCATATTAATCACTTACCATTTGATGTGGAGATCCCTGCCCTGCAACATGCACAGAGACCTAGGGAGGTGAGATTCATGATATCAGAAAGGCAATTGGTGAGTATCTTCCATGTTTGCGAGCCATTACTGACATCTTACCTCGAAGGACTTGTTATATGCCAAGTGGGCTATTGTGTACATGTGCATCTGCCAACAGCTGTACCACCCTGATCTACCATTAATACCACACCCAATGCCACCATTCTGGTCAGACAAGGTACATGTGATGCTCATACTTTGGATCATGAGGGAGAGGTGCATGTTTGAGATGGAGATGGTGGAGCTTGAATATTTGCTGGGGCTCAGAAGGGCACGTTAGCATGAGCACATTTCGAGGTGAGTCGAGACTATAAATAATGAACAGACTTATGCAAATTTGGTTTAGACCACATGAACAAAAGAGAATCAGAGAGTCTAAGGGGCCAAGATTGAGTGAATGCAATGTATACTGTACAATAGCCAAAGCAAATGGATTACAGCAACCTGGGAGTATGATGTAAAATATAAGTAGCATGTCAACTCATTGAAACAGAAATATCTTGCCTTAGTTCAGACAGATTATCAAAACATAAAGCCGTTGATGATATACTTCTGTATAAAGACTCTGATGGCTGAATTCCAGCACCTGCTCAAGTCGAGATTGAGTGCATCAGATACATGTGCCCTGGAGACAAAAGCTTTGCAGGTTCAAATTGTTTACTGGCTTCATCACACTAGACACGCACAACTAAGAGGTTTTCGGCAATAGAGACATCTTTGGGTAGGAATTGACCGGACCTTTGGTGAATATAGCAGTGGGAAATAAAAGGAACTAGCAAGGTAGGAGTAGCCAAGGGAGACAGCTCAGATAGGACCAGGGAATGAGCAGACATAGAGAGGCATGAGAGCTTGAATTTTGTTGTGATATAACTCACCAACAACTGACTGATTCAAAGCATTGATAAGCACATAGTAGTGCAGAGGAAAAACAATATATAAACAATAAACAAAGAATGATAATCGATGATTATACATGTTACTTATGTAATCTAGATTCTGACCCCAACAAATCAGCCAATGAAAATTATCAATCAGCAGCATACTAACATCTGCTGCCTGCATATATTTTTTCCATGACTTATATATCTTCAGTGTCCATCCTGTGGCAAAGATAGATTCAAGACTGACACTGCTGTTGCCCGTCATATGAGCTAACCTCATTCTGGATGCAATAGTTGGCTGGATGAGTTGATTCAGCTGAAATCTCACTTACCACATGGGCCCTTGAAAGACAACCCTATGGAATCAAACAAAGAGGAAGATGATGTTGATTTTGGAGACACTTACGATGGTGGTTGGGATGAGATTCCTGTTGAAGAAGAAACACCTGCTGAGGTCACCAACTACTTTCTAGGTGCTGCAGAGACATACAGCATGGGCTATACATTCCTGAGCCTGTTCAACACTGACAAAAATAGTATCTACTGCAAAACAAACTTGTACTATCCATTCAGCTGTAAGCAAGACTGGAAGATTGCATCATGGTTACTGCATTCCGGTTTGAGTATAGGGAAGATAGATTCTTTCTTATCGCTCAAGATGGTGAGGTATCCGAGTTAGCAACTTTATCTTTATCTCATCGACTAACCAACATTCAGATTAGGGACCTTCCTTTGTCGTTCTGCTCTGCCAAAGAGTTGCAAGAACAAGCAGAAATGTTACCTAGCAGCTTATATTGGATGTCATGAGTTCTTGATATATCACATTTAATGAAATCACCTATTATTCTGTACTAGTGTGATCCACTCAAGTGTATATCTGCCATTCTCAACTATCCTCTCTTGCATAATCAATTGGACTTTACACCTCGCAAGGTTTACTCCATGGTGCAAAAGCTTTGTTGTGTGTATACCGAATGGATGCCAGGCGATGATGCATGGAATATGTAGGTATGGCATCTTTACATAGTATATATTTTACTAATTTTAAATAGTCAGTGCTCCCTGAAGGTGCTACATTGCTTGGGACAATACTATCCTCAGACAAGACGAATATCTCAGTTCTGATGGGTGATCATGTTGCACATCCACTCCTCATCACTGGCCTTGCAAATATCCACATGAACACCCAACTTAAATCATCATCCAACTCTTTCATGCTCACTGCCCTGCTGCCAGTTCTGAAGTTTCTTCATAAGAATAAATGCCTGTGTGGCGTATTGGCAGATTGCCTCATTCATCAATGCCTAGATATTGTTTTAAAACTGCTTAAGGAGACCACTCTACATGGCATGATACTCTCAGATCCCGTCAGGTAGAGCTGCTATTGTTTCACACCACTTGCAAGTTATATTATTGATACTCCCAAAGCCATGATGTTGGCCTGTGTTGGTGGAAAGACCTCTCTGGTCACCATAGCCATGTACAAACAATTTGGAGATTCCTTTCACCATAAATCTTGCACGGCATCAACTACTCTTGCACAAATATCTGTTGTCCATATACAAGCTGATCCATCATCAGATCTACAGGCCTTCTTTTATGAAGCACAAAAATTCTGCTTGAACGGTGTCTTTGAGCCATTTTGGTGGGACTAGGTGCTTACACATCTGTCCCACTTCTTCACACCTGAGACACTCCATGTCCTTCATAAGGAATTTTGGGATCACAATGCAAAATGGCTAATCTTTGCTGTTGGGGAGTCGGAGATATATTTTTGTTTCTCTGTTTTGCAACCTGTCACCAGCTTTTGGCATTCCACAGAAGGGATCTCAAAACTCAAACAGGTGACTGTTTGCTGTCAGTGAGACATCCAATATTCTATTGTCGTAGTTAGTACAGATGCAGCACCCTGTGGAGTTCTTGTTGCCATATGTGCCCTCATGGATTTCCACTATCTTGTGCAGTCACAATTTATCGACAAGAACAACTTAGTGCGTATCTCAGCAGCATTGAATGAGTTTCATGCCAACAAAGATGCAATCATTGATGCTAGGGTTTGTCGTGGCAAGGCTAACAAAGTGGTCAACAATTGGTACATACTGAAACTGGAGCTTATGCAGAGTGTCATACCTAGCATTAGGAACTCTGGAGTTACGGCTCAGTGGTCTGCAGATGCTACTGAGCATGTGCATATCACTGAGATTAAGGTCCCAGTGAGATCAGGTAATAACAACAACTACAACCCTCAAATATGTTGACATGTCGACCAACTTAATAAATATCATTGATTTGAGCTCACTACCATCCTTCTAGATGAGAAACAGAATATTAAGGCATTAGCTGATGCAGCAAGGAGTCATATGGACAATAAGGATACTGACGACATTGAGGTGAACAACAATATACCTGTTGAGTTCTTATCTATAATTCAACATAGTCATTTGCATCCAATCATGAATTATTTTGCAATCACCCAGGTACTGCAGCACAAACCTGTGGGCTCTGTACCTCTACCATTGCATTCCTTTGCCATTGGGCACATTGCCTTTCATTTAGCCTATGATCCTTCCATCCAAAACATCAGTATTGATGATGTTACCCTTAAATTTAACCTGCCAGATTTGCGACCAGCACTATCCAATTTTCTGCATCATGAGGCCAGTTCCGAACATGACCACATTCATGCAATAGGTGGCCCTAGGAGAGCCAGACCTAATGCTGTGCTTCCTTTTAAGAAAGTTTAAGTATGGTTCAAACTTTGCTTGCAAGATACAGAGTTCCATGACATTCATACTATTTGACCAGCTCAGACTATCAATTGCACACCGCCAAGTGAACCTTGGACACATGGACATTATGATTCAATCATTGTCAATACCGAAGCAGAACACTTATGGCCTACTAGCAGTCTTTGAGGCATGTCACAACTTATTTGTCCTTTCCCAATGCTTGTTATTAACTTCATCCCTCAGGGCACACTGTCGCCCAAATAAGACTTATTTTTTGTCCCCTGGCAAGACTGACACACAATGAGTATGGCAATATTGGTTTCTTACCTATGTTCATCGCTTCAATATCATTAGTGTCTATGAACCAACTATGCAAATGTATGTCCTCAAAAGGGCAAAACAGTCTAATGGGACTTGCATGGAAGATGTCATACTGATCTCACAAGTACATACATCCATTAATCTTGTTCCTCGGTTTGGTGTTGCTGTAGACAATCGCCTTACTGCATATAATAGTGTTGAGCACGTGTTAGAGTTATGGCTGAATAGTTTTTGAGACAAAAACTCTTACTTTCCTCCTTCAATGTAGTATTTTTAGAACAGTTTGTGTATTTTCACTTATGATAGTCTTTGTGTATCATGTTTGACCAATAAGAGATCCACATGGCATATTCCATGTCAACCTTTGACATTTTGACTGTCATACTCATTCATCAGTGTGTGCAATACCCTCCAACTCCAACTCAAAATCAAAATCGGAGTTGAAACAGTACTTTTCAATATTAGCACTTGGAATAAAACTATCATCTTTCATCAAAATTCCTCTCATTCATGATGTGCCGATGATGGATTAGCTAACCACACAAGAACTGAATCAGCTGGTTCTCAAGGAGCCTGCAAGTCACATCAAACAAAGCACCTCCTTGGACATCTTCTATCTGTAATATTCCAATCCTTCAAAGTTCAAGCACCTCATGCAGAGGACCTTCAGATCCCTCTCTCTCAGATTTGATATTCTAAACAGTGGATCAACCATCAATTCCATGAACATGAACCAACAGACTTTGTAGAACTGTGAGATAGTAAGGTGAAGAGTTGGAACTGGAGGCTACTGGATCCACCCAAACAAGAGCACAAAAAGAGTAAAAAAGGTAAAAGACATGAGGAGAGACTGCCAGGGGGGAGTGTGAGGCACCTGGCAGAATCAGTACTTCTAATTCAAACTCGACTATTGAACACATAGTTGCAGGGCTTTGGAATGCCCTCACAGTGACACTTTCTCGACATAAACTCAAAGCTAATCGAGCAAATTATGTATGGAGTAGGGTACACTCAACCACCACAATAAAGGGAGAAGACATCCCCTGCAAACCTGACATTGTTATGTCAGATGAACCTAATTCTGGGTGGGCAGGCTTCAAGGTTGTCACTGAGGTGATGAAAAGCAAGTACCAGCCAGGGAAGCATGCTGTGAAATATATTATCTTGAAGCACCAGCCCTGGAGGCACTTCGCTCTCATGCTATCTCTATGTAATCACTATCGTGAACTTTATATTCATATATACAACCACTCTGGTTCTGCTGTATCACCTCCATTCCATATTGACCGACAGAAGGATGAATTTCTGCAAATCCTCTCATCTATCATCTTTGGCAATGATGAGTGCATTGGTTTTGATACGATGATAAACATTCAACAGCTTAAACTTCCTGTACTATCATGTCACTCTCGTTCTCCTAGGAGATTGCATGCTCAGACAAAGAGAGTTATCTCTCAGGGTACATCCAGTACACAGGCCAAGTCAGGAGATGCAGCCTCAGGTAAGGAGTTAGACAAGTCAGATGAGGACTCAACAAAGCCAGGCAAGTCAGATAAAGCTTCCAGCCAGGAGTCAGGGTACGAGTCAGCTTCATTATACAGACCTTCACCCTCACAGACTTCTGATAGCAATTCCTCATCAAGTGTCTTCTCCTCCCTCAAGCTAGATGAGCAGCCTGATATCAGGACTGGTCCTCCTGCACTCCCCTCTGAGCTGCCTCCCTTAGCCATTTCTACCCTGCTAGTTCCTTTTATTGCCCAAACTTCTGTTCCTCTGAATTTGTCACCTATTGGTAAAATTCAAGTCAATGACAACTGGTATGATATCCTGGAGGTCATATTTTCGAGTCATGGCCTGGTTGGTTGTGGCACCATTTGCTACTTGGCTAGAAAGGACAACCAAGAGTATATCATCAAGGACCACTGAGTCCTTGGAAATGCAGATGATGAAGATACCCTAAATAAGGTCATTATGTTGAAGAAGATGCAGGGTGTCTGTGGCGTCCCAGAACTCATAGAATTCAGCAAAGTTAAGCTGTCAACTGGTGAGGTCAACAATACAAAGATTTACTGCTATCAAGAGCTGCCCAGCTTAGTCAACACTTTGCACACTCATTTTCGCCTCGTCATGAAGCCCTGAGGGCAACCTTTATATGAATTTCAAACAAAGTTGGAATTTATTTGAGCTATATGTGACATTGTGGCCAGTAAGCATATCTCCTTTCAGATATATATGTTGATACTAACCAGAGAGTGATCTCCCAGTTGTAAGGACTGGTTGTCCTTTATACACCAATCACACTTCAAAAACAAGACACACAAACCAAATGTTCAGAGTCTTCTGCTGTAGGACTTGGAGTCCTTATGGCCTCATAGAGGTCTATTTTCCTATGCATGTTGAATGCTGATCATTACCCAAATCATATCCGACTCAATATGCACCAAACCCAAAAACATTGGACATTGGACATCACATCGGGTTTCACATTGGCCTATCGGATATTGCATGCACTCGTCCTACCTATGTCCAGTCTCATTGCGCTAGCCCCACTAGGTGCATAGTTACTTGTTTTCACATCCCTAACATTGTTGACCGCATTATTACATGTATTTCCATAGTCCGCAGTACATTATGTCTTATTACATAGGACATCAGACCCAAAATATTGCACTACTACTTTCGCCTATAGAGTTCTGGATTTCTATGTATCTACATAAATATTGAACTCCCCATAGCATCATCATGATCCAAGTAGAGGAGAGTCGTTCTCTGACACTTAGGGGTCAAACCTGATATTTTGTAGTTCTTAGTTGACATTGCAAATATCATTGTTCCTTCATTGTCCATATCCATCATCGTTATTATTGCACACATTGCTTGCTTTCCCGATGCTCACTATCATGTCACTATTAGTTTCCAATACACCAAACCTGATGTGTGTGAGGAATGATAGCTAGATGGGATGGGGAGAAAGGGGGAGAAAGGGTGAAGTGGGGTGAAACTCAAATAGACCTCTGGATGTGAGTATAGATTTGGCCCAAGGGGATTGCTACTGAGAACGATTCCTCTAAGTGTTACAGGCATCCGTAACACCTACAGGAGTCCCCACTCCACCTACACCAGTCCCCGCTCTACTAGACCATGAACGTGGCGGTGCGCCGCCCGCACTTAGAAGAACAGCGGCCTGGACCGCTGTGACGCCACCCCTGGCGCTGTGATGCCGCCCCTGGCCTAGACGGCCTTGTACCTGATCCATGGAGGCTGTACGCCTCATGGTCACCCTAGATCAGTGCATGTATACAGCATGTCGCTTCATGAAGATCCGGAGCGCCCTTGGCGCCTCATGTACCTATGCGCAGTCGCACTTGGCGCCGCATGCTTGATCAGAGGTTAAGCCTCATGTACTTATCTGAACCTCATGTCTTGTTATCATAGATCCTAGATATACTATAGATTACAGACTGAGCTTGAACACTTGTAGTTAGACCCTATAAGTAGACAGATTATTGTACTTAGACTTTACTTTAATCTACTAGGTTCATCCCAGAACTTGTTCAGCTAAGCCTCCCAGCTCAGCTGCCTAAAAACCGCACTTCTAAGTCGCTCCCCGCTTCTTAGCCGTATCCGCTAGCCCTGTATCTCGACGAGCGCCGTCTTACCGCGATCACCAGAGGAACCCTTGACATTCCGTCAAGCCGAGAACCACCCTCAGCTTCAGTAGACTCACTCGAGTCGTCGCTGAGAAGACCTATCCTAGTTCGCACACGCCGACCAACGGTCAGTGTAACACTAAGTAAAAATATGAGGGGAAATCTTGAAACTAATAAGAGTAACTAAGAATGGAAGGAGCATGCAAAGATGCGCCAACACGATGCGAGCGCGAGCGAACCACCGAAAGTATGATACAATGCGCAACCGAGCAGCCAAAAATTTGATGAAGCACGAAGGCATGAGGAAGAGCCGAAGGGTATATGAGAAGGTCTAGCAGAACACGAAGGCGAAGTGACACGATGATGAGATGGGGGAAATGTTTAGACAATAGATGCGATGAGCAAAGTGCAAAGTGCAAAGTTAGTGCGACCATTAGTGAAGTGCACGGTAGTAGGCCGAAGTTTTAGATTCTTAGTCTGAGTGTTGCGTGCAAACAGATGATAATTTCAATGGAGGGAAAAGAAAGATACATGAAAAAATCTAAAGTACTAAGTATATATGATAGTGTGCTAAGCACTGTTCAGAGCCGGATAGATAGCGGTAATACATATCAAGGGTCCATAACGCAAGTACCGTGAACATAAGCGATATAGCTTCGGAAATATAGTCAGTCGAATGCAAATGAGATAAGATACGCACCAATGGACAAGCGGAGGACATGGATAGGATGGAGGAAGGATGTGCAACAGAGCCGAAGAAAAGCCGATGTGAGCCGATGCACATGCGTGAGCCGCGGCCATTGGCCAATGATGGAAAAGGTGCGCACCATGTTAGTGATAGTGTGTGCTGCGCGAGGACCTGAGGGACACTGCAAAAACAGTCTCTATGAGGCCACAAGGACTCCAAGTCCTACATCAGATCTGACACTTTTTGCATCAGACATTATAATTATACCTTCGGACATTGTTTCCCACACTCAGATTATTGACCCCATATCACTCACTGACTCCCAAAACTATTCCCAGACTGCAGACCCCTGGGTTGAATACACTTGTCTCACCAAGTATAGCAGACTAGGCAGTGCAAGACCACAACATAAAGATATCAGTTTGGAGCCATCTTTGTATAGCCCCACTCTGTGTTGTATACCTACACCGTGTGAGTCACTGATGTGAAGAGTATTACTCTTTGCATCTGAATTATGTGGATACATCCCTTCCTCTCATTTTACCTTTCAGTACCTTTCCTTGCCCTCATATCACACTATCTCTGTTCATGTATCAAAGTATTTTCACTTCACTATCGAGCATTTTCACATTGCATCTGGCTTAACCAAAGTATTCCAAATGTATATATACTTCAAAATGTACACTAATGACTATAGTGAATTCTATACTCAGACTCCCACTCTAAGCATAACCGAAAGCCTCCAGCAAGTCTCTGTCTCTTACACTGTCTCACTACTCTTAAATACTCCTGCACTCATCTCAATTCGGCATTTTTTGGTTCACGATTCCCTGTCAAACTCATACTCAGCCTTACACAGTTCAACAGGAAGTGTATACATGAGGTATTTTGCATCACGATTGCAGTCTCAACAATGCAATAATTGAGGATGCCAATGATGATAGCCTTGGAATGTTAATTAACTGGGAATTCACTATACTTATCACCCCGGAAAACAACTACACCATCAGTGGGACAGTGAGTGTATGACTGATTCAGGAGTAAATCTACTGACTTAACTTGCAAGGCACAGTTCCATTCATATCGTGGCAGCTCCTGCAGCAACTGAAAAATATTATAGTTTTTAGCACTGCAAAACAAGGGGCATCATCATTATCACCTTTGGCAATTGGATCCATCAAGCAAGACTATTCAGATAATCTTGAATCACTGTTTTATATCTTTTCTTGGGTCTACATTGGATACAGTGATCTACTTGGCATGAAACACCATTTGAATGCTTCAAAAGTATGGCTTCCAAATGCATGAAGCAACTGGAGTATCACTGGATGCTTTGATACCAAAGTGTTATTCTATACAACAGATGACAGCAAAGCTGTAATCACAATGCAGTTCAATGACTACTTCAAGGATCTTATTCTACTTGCACTGGAGTAGATGGACCTCCTAAGGCTCAATTTCCTGGTTCAGGTTGGCAGTGTCAATGGCCAGGCTCTCCACCGACCCATCAAATTTGATGTGCTGCTCAAGATCTAGGACAAACACATCACTAGACTCAAGGGTACGCTTGAGCTGCCCCCTGAATGGTTGTTGCACAAGAGGTTGACAGACAAGAATGTAAAGAATGTACATGCATTGGGAACAATCATAGAAAAAATGAGCCACCAGATCTCAGTGAAGAAACACAGTCTGAATGATTGGTGGACTGTTGAATCCAGTGTGAAGAGGAGCAAGTTATTGAACTTGGAGTGGCCGGGCCAATCAATTTTGATCTCATTTGTGTATGTAGCAGTATATCATGAAGTTTTGATATTCTCACATTGCAATAGTACTTGTGATACATTATAATACTATGTAACTCAAAAGTACTACTAGTGACTTATCGTAGCCATTCTCATGACTTTGGAAACTTGAAAGGCCCAGCAAATTATTACTAGTAATATTACTAACATTGCAACATTGAACTCCTCGTTTCCCTCATGTGATCCTCCATTCAACTATATTCCTCCAAAAATGTGGACACTCACTGCCAGTCGAGTCATAAGTATAATAAGTTACTCAGTTCAGTCAAGTCCTTTAAGAATTGAGTGAGTTTTGTCCAAGTCTTGTCACTTATTTCCCTTCTGGCATTCCTACCCTTTGTTAGTATCAATCATTCCCCCTCACTTCCAAGCTATGTCTAGCCCCAAAAAAGTGAAGGCAAAGCACAAAGTTGCAGAATGATATCACAGCGGTCACTGGGCAAGGAAAGAAAATGCGGGCAGCAGATAAAGCTGGTTTAGTATCACTGCAGCTAACTTCCAATATCAACACTCCAATTCATCATTCTGGTCACCCTGATGCAGGTATAGGTGGAAGAAATACTCAACTAGAGAAAGTTAGTGCAGTTCTGGAGGCTCCAACACAGACAAACCTACCTAAGGGCTCCATGACCCTTGTGCCAAATATCTCAGCAAACCCTCTTGCTCCTAAACCATGTCAAAAAGGCCATGGCCATCCACCGGTAAGCTTAAGTTTCTATCCAAACAGTTGGGGCTGATGTCAAATATTTAGAAGCCTCCTCCACCATATACTAGTATCACAGACAGTACAAGCTCTGCTGTTACAAGTTCCTGTCAGAAAGGAAAGAAAGCCAAGGTGAGACATTTTTGTCTTTGTTCATACCTGGTGATACAATGATCAATCAAATAGACATCTTCTGCCCCCTACTCACAAGTTGAACCAGTGAGAAACATTATTTTTGTATTTAAATCAAGTATTCATTTATATATGAGAGTGTCACTCATGAGCCAAGTCATGCATCATTGCAACCAAGTTTGTCATTGCACAAAACAGGTGGACACTTTGGATTTCAAATACCTCAAGGCAACCCACCAACTGTACCACCTGGAATAGAGCCAGATCTTCAAACAATTAACAATCTTTATATGACAACAACTAAGAAAGATGCTGAGAATCGTGCCCATTGCACTGTGCAAAGCCTTACTGGAGGCCATTAGTCTTCTTCCAGTGGGCCATCTAATGGAGATCTTTTGTGATCAGTGTCAGCTTTACTGGTAGCTACCTTAGGCTTACCTTCATGTCCTTTGTCTAATATGTGGGTCATTCTGACTTTTTCTGAGGAACATTTGGATCTGTCTCTATGAATGGTCAGTTATGAGTGTAGGACTAACATCTCCTTGCAACATCCTGATTCGGATACTTCAAGCTCTGATAAAAGTAGTGCAAGTGGCAAAGATAGTGATGATTCTGCTAATTTTGATAATGCTAGTGCAAGGAAGTTTGGTTGGGCTGAGGTTGGCAGGTGCCATAGTGTGCACCCAAGTAAATGTCATCTTTACTTGTGATGATCAGTGATCACCCTGATCATTTTGTAGGTTTTTCTCAGGAACCAAAACCTTCCCTGGTTTATGCTATCTTCATTCTTACTCCTGACTTCAAATTTCAATACTCCCATAACAATGATGATATGAATGCCAAGCAAGCATTAGCTTTTGACAATCCATTGAGTAATGAGAGTGCCTTGGAGGGTGCTCAACATGTCTCCAAAGTCTCTGAGCTCAGTTCTCAGGTGCGGCATTGGTCTATCAACATATCTTAAGGTATTTAGGAATCTGATGGCTCTCAGGTATAACATCCATCTGGTAGTACATCCCAAAGCATTCAACAACTAACTCATTTCCAGCCTGCAGATGTAACTGATAATGTTTTAAGTCAGCATCATAAGACAAATAGGTGACCTCCTCTTACCGACCCTGCTTCCTTAGAGCTCTTATATCATATGGCCAGGAAAAAGGATCTGACAAATGATGAGGATCCAGATGACATGTAGCAACCAGCTAAAAGCAGACATGGGCTGAAATTCACACAGGTGTCGTTCTACTCAGCCTACTAGAAGAATTTCCTTGAGGACACAAAAGGAGTATGTTGTGCACAACATGCACTAGAGAACTCATTCCTAGCTCTTGTTAAGGACTTGCCAGGTTCTATTGCTGAGGCCCTTCTAGCTGTTCTTGTTCAGTGAAATGAAGCCAGTAAATGATTTGAACCTGGTAAGCTTTGATATTCTCCAGGGCACGTATATCTGACACAAGTACCAGGTTATTGGCCTGCTCACAAGCCTGATATGGTGAAGCTCATAAGTGTATCATCACTGGCCTTTTTCTCGCTATTTGCTCATACTTCCTGCCATCCAGTTATATGAAGATCTCTTGACATGACACTCTGAGCTCAAGAAGAATGTTGTTGTGATTGCCTCAATCATACCTGGTCTCATGCCTCCATCAAACATCCCACCTTAAGAACATGCTTTATAGGTAGAAGGTGCGGCTGCCGGGTTAAAGGCAGGCTCAAAGTTTCTACATGATGGTGTGGATGAACAGGTTTGTTGAGGTACAACCTCATGAACATCATATACTGGCCCATATAGAATTGTTTGAAGACATCCAGATATTTTCAGCAAGCAGTTGCAGTTGTCATGCTTGACTTTAGTCTGTGCTGCAGTATTTTCTCAATTTTATTTTTATATTCAATGACAAACTAACTTTTTTTATAGTTTGTTTGTGTTCTCGATGGCCTTATCAAAAATGGTAGCAGACAATCATTCACAAAATTCACTGCCAAGGAATATGGCCTGACCTACAAATCTGCGCTGAAGTCACTCTAAGATATCATGAAAGACCCTTATTATGGTCCCAAGCTGGTTGAGCAGCTCCAATCGTGGGCTGAGGCTGGATGGCAAGAATATACTCTCATCCAATGAGTTTAGCATACTAACTGTATGCATTTAGGGCTGCATGTTGCAAAGTCAATGGCAATGAAGCACCCCACAATGTTGATATCGAGATGGTGCTTGATTGAGGTTGCTTATTTCTCCCGCTTGTAGCTCACTTATAATTTTTCTACCGATTGTATTATTGGATCCTATCCTCGATTAACACAGCAGCAAAATTTACCCAGAAGATGGTCACCCCCTATGAGCTCATTAGTGTGATTAGTGAGGAATACGAGTATAGAATGCTCACAGAGTGTTGTCTAAATAAAATAGATGTAAACTCTGCTCTATCCGCTAAAGGTCCCAATACCAGGCAGAGGGGTTCCAATAACTCCAGTACAGCCATGAGAGATGTCATATGCTCTAATTGTGACCATAAGGGTTATTACAAGCAGGATTGCTGGTGTGTTGGAGGAGGAAAAGAGGGGCAGGGTCCAAAACAGACACAGCAAAGAGGTGGCCGTACTCCAAAGGAAGGCACTAATGCAGCCAAGCAGACCAGCAACTGACGAGAGGGCTACATATTTATGACATCAGACTTGGCCAGTCTTGCAGAAGGTTTAAATGTACCTGTTAAGACCGTGCACAAAGGGTAGGACTGATTCCGAGGGGCTTGGCTTCAGCTCGTGCGCTGCGCCCCTTACCCGAGTATGTGCCCTTATTTTAGAATGATGTCCAGAGAAAGTCTAAGGAAGTCCAAAGGACTTCCAAAGGAGCGCGGGAAACTTTGGAAAGACTTTCTGGACAAGTGCAAGTAACTTCCGGAGGAGTGTGGGAAAGTTCCGGAGGAACTTCTGGAAATTACCATGGAGGTTTCATCCTGATATGGATATGTATAATGGCTACTCAGGACACGTCCTGAGTAGAAGCAAACAGATGAAAGGCTGCAAGGACAAAGTCTGAAGCAGAATAGTTCTGGAGGACCACGGGAAAGATCCGGAGGGACTTCCGGAAACTTGGAGGAGTGGAGGATCAGATGAGCAGAGGAGCGGATGAGTGGATGAGTGGATGAGCAGAGGAGCGGAGCTCCGGCCTAGGGAATTCCTCCCTAGGCCTAAGGTGGATATTCAGAAGGTAAGAACTAGTATGAGGACTTTAGAGTGAGATCTAGTGCGAGGACTAATATGATATTCAGACTGAGGAACTACAGGACATATACAAGAGTTTATATACTAAGTGACTATCGGAAGGATCAATAAGCAAAGGTCCGAGGCTATGTATGAAGCATAAGCAAAGTTATCAAACACGAGTCGGATATGAAGCATAGGTTAATGGATCAGTAAGCATACTGGTAGTAAGTATAACCGAGATACCGGGAACAAGGAATACCGAATAGGCTGTGTTAACATTATATGAACAGGAAATGAATTAAGGAGCTTATCGTATATCGGATCGGAAGCGTATCTATATCTCGGATTGGATTGGATATGGTCCGGACGAGATGCATGGATATATGGGATATGACATTAGGGCGATAGGACAAAGGGCGAATGATGCAGGCTAGCTGCAGAGGTATGGAGGTCCGATGTATAGAGATACAGGGGTCCGGAGGTCCGGAGGTCCGGATGAAGCATGGGAACATTGTCGGACATAGGTCTGGAATACAGGATATGACAGTACCTATGAATTGCTGTAGAGCCATTATGGACTCCAGTGCTACTTCCCATTTCTGTCCCAACCACAATAAGTTCAGTAACTTTGTCTCCATCCTGCCTCAAGATATTCATATGGCTGATGGTTCCGCTGTTAGCACCATAGGGCATGGAGATGTCAAGATCAACCTACCATTAGAAGATAAATGTACCTCTGTGATGCTGAAGAGTGTCCTCTATGCGCCAAAGATGGTGTTCACTCTCATATCCATGAATAGGATTACTGCTGCAGGATTAGCCATGCATTTCAAGGGGAATATATGCAGGATACTCTCACCTGCGCCCAAGTGTAAGCTTATTGTGGAAATCCTACAGGTAGAAGGTCTTTATAGTGTCATCAGCCACTGGCAAGAACAGGCAAATATAGCGAGGACCAGACTTAGCCTATGTGAGGCACATCAAGTGCTGGGCCATATCTCCCAATTGGCCATAAAGCACATGGTCCAGGAACATCTTGTTGAGGGACTGGATATTGATATGTCGTCCGCGGTAGAGTTCTGTGAGGCATGCACAAAGGCGAAGGCAACACGTCAACCTTTTCCCCAGGAGACGAAGAAGAGAGCACTTACCTATGCTGAGTTGGCGCACACTGATTTGTGGGGGCCTACACAGACCGCAAGTTTGGGAGGCTGTAGTTACTACATCAGCTTTATGGATGACTTCTCCCATGAGACAAAGGTCCTTTCATGTTGAACTAGCAAAAGCTCTTCTGCCCAGCGGTCTCTGAGGGCCTTCACTCAGAGCCAGTGGACACAATAAACTAAGACATGGAATTGCATTAGTAAAGATCCCTGGCGAACGGATCAACTAACATTCACTCAACCAGTCGTTGCAATCTGAGTCCCCTTCCACATCCATAGACTAGAACCATGCCAAAGTGCTATCCCTTTGTTCTCTGGCATTTGAATCGGCCATGGCTGTACTAACCTTGAGATGCTCCCTCTCAAAAGGCTGGTATTGGGCTAGCAATTTGTGGTTGGCGCCAAGCTTCCCGAGCTGGGACTGGCATTTTGAATAAACACTCTCATTAATGCTGACCGCTCGGTTGACAGAATGAACTTGAGCCTAAGCTCTAGTGGACGTTGCTTGTGACTTCGCTGTCCTCACCGTCTTGCGGAACAGCACCGCCTTGTCTGCTAAATGCACTCAGATATTATGGAGAGCATCATTGGCCTAGCCTTCCCAGAGTGTCACCTCTTGCTTGATTAAATCCTCACAACCTAGCTCGGCGCACCATTCTGGACCGAGATTTGAAGGCAATGGTATCATGACCTTTTTCAGTTCAAACATACGGCATTCATTGCCCATTTCATCATCACTATCATCTTGCAAAAGCAGCAGGTCAACCTCCATATCCTGGTCATCGCCATTGTCGAATCCATTACCAAAGTATGTTGGTGCTGTCGCCACCCACCGATCTATGTCTCCTTGTAGTCTCTCTTGCCATTGCCCAATCTCAAGCCGCTGGGTCTCAGTTCCGTGCTGCCCCACTTTTCTGACATCCATTTTTAGTGTAATCTGTGCTTCCTCAATAGATATTCCTTCAGCCAGCCACATTGCCGTTCCTCTATGTCGTGCTGGATCAGGTTGCCTGACCTTTCTTTTGTAATAGTTCTATTTCCTGTTGTTTCCTTGTAGGTGCTGTCAAGGCATGAGTTTCAGCAGTTGGAGCGTAAACAGCGCATACCTTTTTGGAGTTAAATGTCATAAACATCCATAGCCTGTGGCTCACAGAAGCACTGTTCCTGTGCAATCCTTTCATGCTCTTTCCAATCTGTCACTTTCTTTTCATCGGCACTTTCATGCAACTTCTCAAAGGCAGTCTGGCTATTGGCAACTCCTTTAATGGCCTGCTTGTATTTCCAGCAGAGGAATTTGCATGTAACATCTCGGTGAGGTCATTTTCTTGAACATATTGGACCACCTACTCATCCTGATCATTTTCATAAAGTTGCAATCATTCATTTGGTAGTCCAAGGACTCCTTTCAGTGTGGTGTTCCCATCCCCCATGCCGCAGGTGAGATTATATTCAACGGCGCCTACAGGGTTTCCATGATCTCACCATTGATTCTGGTGGCGCCCTGGATGAAGTTTGAAGCATACCATAAGAAACAACTATTTTGATGGACATGGACATGCCACAGACCTATTCCTGGTGTGATATCGAGTCCTTGCCGAATGTCCAGGTAAAAACTGTTAGTTATCTGGTCCTTCAGATTCTTATGATACTGGCAGTTAACATCATAGAATGTTTATGTACGTTGAATGTCATTGGCATTGTATTTCAATGCCTAGCACAGTGCATAGTCTATGTTCATTTGTCTGTTGGGTGTCAGTGATGTCTAGGGTGATCGGTGGTATCATCAGTGCTTACCTGTCACCTTTCTGAAAATCTACCATTGGATGTAGGACAAAACAGCCATGCCTTGCACACACACATCTCCCAATTCCAGTAGCTTCTAATCTGTGCCAGGATGCATTGGCTTGATTCACTGCCCAGTGGTTGTTGCACTCAGAGCATTGAATGATGTCTTTCACATCGGCAAGGTGTGCCTTGTACATGGCATCATCGACCATGAATCCCTGGCCATCCATGAGTGATACTTCGTCTTCCAGATATGAGGCATGAAGATGCTCTGCTTTGAAGTTCCCATCCATGACTATTGACCTGGAATATAGCTAGCTCGGTGTTTCCAAAGCCGATTCATTCTTGTCCATGTCATCGGCAATGTCATCCATTGGCAAGGTGACATTGATTCCTGGCTGCAGATATGTTAGACAAAAGAGTGCCAGATCACCAGGTTTCGTTACTTTGGACTCATGACCGAAGCTGTTCCATTTCAGTAACTTGAGCTTGTGCCATTATCTGACCACCTGCATGAGCTCCCAATACCAGTCCTGAAAAAATATCAACTTCGGTGCCGCCGATGCAAAAATGCCCTCACCAGTACCAAGTGAGGAAATACACTTATAGTAATTCATCGCCGAAGTGCCACACTCCAAGTTATCAAGCAAGAAGTTGTTTAGGACATTGAAGGTAAAGGCAGTCTTTGGTTGATTAAATGATACTGGAAACAAACCCATTTGAAATAGCTGTATGTCGGCACTAGGTGCATTGGCACATGTATAATACTTTACCATGTGAGTATGCACTCCGGACATATCCACTATGGTTGTTATTCTTTTGCCATTTTTTATGAATGGTACACCAGTTGGTAGATCATTGGCATCCTTTGAATACTGTAACCCAGGAGGTTGTTCATTCCAGTATTCTGCTGTCCATGGAGTGTAGTTGCCGGAATTACTGTTGGCTTCAGATTTGGCCAAAAATTCGTCAGCAACCTCATCATCCCAAGGACAAGCATCTCCATTGTGTCCTAGCCAGATCACTAGCCCAGTTTTTACTAGGCAAGAATCCTCAAAGCATCTTCCTGTCCATTGACTAATCCTATGGAAGGGCAGCCTCTGGTGCTGGCTCCTGCAGCAATTCGTGCAAAAAAAGGGCTCACCAAAACAGTTCTTGCATCATTTTTCAACCTATTTCCCAGTTACTGTCCTTGTCCTATATGTTTTCTGCCATTCCACCACACAAATATTGTTGGATGGAGTCCACTCCTGCACTTTTGAACCCCCTATATTTTGAAGCAGATGATTTATGGTGGGAGATATGATCAGAAGCCAGGTTTTCCTCACTAATAGACTGGCACTGACACATGTAATATATGATAGAGATCAGTATTTCATCTCTTCTTACATGGTTGTATTTAGTTTTTGAAGCACTTTTGTCATTTAGAACATATCATGCTAATCCAACATTTCACTATATGATAGATATAAAATGTTAGCTTTCATGAATGGAATGCCAAAGTCATATCACACACTTGTGTCAAATATCCTTGCCAGTTGTCCAGGTAATATGAACCATGTGCTGAACCAAGAAAGCCAAATGGGGATCATCAGAACAGACAATTTTTGAATCTTCAAGCTCTCATATCATTCACCACATCATACCATAGCATGGAGTAAGTCTCCTATTGTTATCCCTCAGCAGACTCAGCTTCCTTTGACCAAGGAGGAGGTCACTGTCCTCAGGGCCCACATGCAGAACTGGAGGTTAGTAAAAGGCAAAGAGAGGTCACTTATCTTGACAGCCATACATAAGGAAGCTGTCCTTCAGGCTCCCAGTCGGAACAAAGCCATTTTAAAAGATAGGAAAAAGGTATGATATGAGTTACTTCATATACATCCTCATAATATTGATACCATTACAATAGATTTATAAGAAGTGTTTGTATAACCAGTGTCATCGGAAAGCTGCACCTAAGCCCCTCATTACTTATGGCAGGAGATGAACAGGCCACAGGGTATTGGTTCACCAGCACAAGGACCAGATCTGAGCTGAGACTGGGGCAATTCCAGAGAGTGAGGAAATGATTGTCAAGTGGCTGAGGCCACAAAGACAGTCATTCATGGTCTGTCTCCGGAGCAGATGGAATTGGTGAAAGCACTGGCTGAGAAATGGAATAATGAAGTAGCTCCACTGGATGTCCAAGCCAATGTGGCCAAGAGCAAAGGTGCCGATATGATAGAGCACTTCACCACAGAAATGTTCAAGCAAACAGGAATGAGGGTCTTTGTTCTTTCAGCATGGTGTGACACCAGAGGAAAGTTAATGTTGGGATCATGAGTTACCTTTGCACTGTGCATGACATACTTTGGATCACAAATTATTGCAGACATGACTTCAATCATCAATTTGCCAGCGGCGAAAGGTTCACAAGGACAACAAATATTGATGAGATTTTCATGCCAGAGTGGAAGCTGTGTGCTGCCAACCAGTTTGGTGAGATGAGTCAGGCATTCAGATTTTATAGTCCTGATCCAATTAAAAATGACCAGATGCAGAGGATGAGGACATCCCTCAGGTTATCACATTGAAGAAAGACTTCCAAGAAAGCTAATTAAACTGGAGGAGGATGCTGATGGCTGGCCAACACTTCCAGACACTGCCGGCTGGAAGCAAGCCAACCAACAGCATGTTGTTTGATCTTTTCTTACAAAGCACTACGGTTCGTTCATTGATCCCCAGCATTATATATATTCCTAATTCATATTGTAAACAGGAATGTGCATTGGAACCGAGTCAGGAAAAGCAACTGTGCCATGGGGTGATGTCGTTAAGAACCAATCAGACTTCTTTGAGTCAACTTATTGGCCGGCCAACATACAACTGGTTGAACCTTCCAAAATGGGCAAAGGAGATGTAACAACTTTGCTTGATTTCTGGTATGACAGACAGCAGAAACATATTCGGCTAACCTTCTCCTTCAAGGCCTGGAAAGACAGTGATGGCGACATGGAAACACTATCAAAGACATTCAAGGAAGCTTTTCGGTGTGCAACCAAGAAAAGCAACTGCAATAGCATTGTGAGCACCAGAACATCAGCCCAGCTAAGAGAGCAGGATGAAGATAGTACTGATGAGGAGGTACTGGAGGATGAGGAACATGGTTCAGCGGCCGACAAAGATACCTTACTATTAAACTCCGGCAACAAAGTCCCACCTCTGGCGCCACCGATCATTCAACATGCAACAGCTCGGCGGGTGATGGCAGTGGCGGCATCCACAACTTCAACACAATCAGTGAATATTCCACTTTATGTTACTGAATCCCGGGACTAATCTGAACTTATCAAACAGCCCATGTCAAACATGGTCACCGGGAAGGTAGCAGCTCCTCTCAAACATTCCAAGGCACCGGCCACTGCAAATGTCAAAAGCAAGGAACATGTTGGCACCAGACCAATCAATGATCAACTGGTAAGGCCTCATAAACGCCATATGGCGAATCCAATCAGTGACACACCAGCGAAGTGAACCAGAAGCTAGGTTGCCATTGCCAAAGCTCCAAGGTCCAAAAGGACTAAAAGGTGATTGGTATAGCAACATTAATATTTGGTTTCCTATAGAACACCCACTGTGAATTCTAATATACCGATGATGACTATATTGCAAAATTTGGTATCTAAATGAACAACACTCAGAGGGCATCTTTGGCCTCAGCTATCTCTACCTCATGGATCAGGGATATCACTGGAGGAACAATCCAGGCATGAACTTCTGAAATGTAATGTAAATCGAGTAGGTCTTGGAAGACTTTTGTGAGCCTGTCCCTAGTGTTATAGAACGCCAACAGCATTGCTCTGTTGATGCTGAGAACCTCATCAGGCTTTGGGTCTTGGATGGATTCATCCTGTCGGATGACGCCACCAAGCATTGCTTGTGCTACTTTGTCAACTAGCGAAAATCAGTAGAATATGGCAGAAGATATAGATAATGAACCAGTTGTTCCTTGTATCCTTTCAAGAATCCAAATCGCTGCCTGCTCAGAATCACCGATCAATGATGCAAGTGTATGTTCACCAGGGGCCTCCGATGTAGGTCTTCCTATGTCTGGTACCACACCTTCCGGGCTTGTGAGTGTCCTTGGTTGATATGAACCATGGGGTTGAATGGAAGGACCCGGTTGCTCAGTAGGCATGGATGGCTTGGAAGCACTGATGCTTGCCGGCAATGTTGGGATAGGTTCCAGTGCCATGGTGCGGGTTGGCAAATCAGGAGGTGGTGTCGGCAAATGTATGTCTGTGTGTGGTGCCATTGCCTGAATTGGTACTGGCTTCCACTTCCCAACCAGCGTTGGAGACTTGGCAACAAACTCAAAAGCTACAAATGTTAGCCGAATCATGCGGTGCATGGAGGATAACTTACCGTTATTGTTGAAGTTGTATCCAACATAGTGGGATGCAGGAGGAATAGGATCTTCTGGTTGTCTCACCGGGATGTCAAGATCAAACCCGAAGTTGAATGGGTTTAGACATGGTGTGGTGGTCGCCGGGGTCTCTGTGACAAGAACAGGTAAATCCAGGCCGAAGTTGAATGGCTGAAGGTCAGAAGGAAGAGGTCCAGGGATTCATTCTGGTGGTTCTGTAGGAGTGAGGTTGAGGCCGATGGTGCATGACCAATCATTTGTTGCATGTTCGGCAATTGGTACGGCCACCGGCACAATGGGTAAAGCCATGCCAAAGTTGAAAGCTGCTCCCGAATTAGAAGACGCTGGTGGTGCTGCCGCCTCCACCAGCGGAATTTCAATGTCCATACCAAAGTTAAACTTTGGGGGCATGGGAGGAACATTAATATCCATCCTGAAATTGAAAGCTTGAACCAAATTGGAAGAAGCCAGTAATGTCGGCGCCTGCGCCGTCAGATTTTTGAGGTCCATACCAAAGTTAAACTTTGTGGGCGTGGAAGGGATGTTGAAGTCTATCCCAAAATTGAAAGGTTGCACTTCTCTGGGTGGAGGGCCTATCCTGAGATAGATCACTAACATGATGTTAGAGTAAATTTGTTGCCAGAGCTAACACTTACCTTTTCATTCGGCAGCGGCCTTGAAAGGTGGTGATGGGGATTATGCATGACTTAACTCGTCATCAGTGTCCATCGGAAGATCAAAACGAACTTGGTGTTCCATTGAAGATTTGGTAGATGTAGTGTGTCACAATGATTATCTGCACAATGAGGTGTCTTGACTCTTAAATGTGTGATCCACTGGACCATTGTGGAACTTCAAACAATGAAACCCTAAACAATGGATGTTGTTGTAGGAAAGTTGGCACATGGTTTTGAAATGTGTGGCTATCAATTGAATTGCGCCTGCCGCATGTCATCGGCAGAAGTCGTGAGAAGGAACTGACTTCAAATTTTCTTTTCTTCCTGCTGGTATATATTGTCAGTGTCTTGTCCCATCTTTCAATTCTTTTGTTGTCTTCATGTCATCTGCTGACACTTCTAACGAGGCTGTTAAGAATGCAGCAACCCAGGTGGAAAATGTCCTCACTAGAGCAGTGAAATTGGACATGCCGATCACCTTAAGTTAACTGAGCAGATCAGAGACATTTTGGTGCATATTTCCTCATTAGTACACTTCATCTCACTGATCATATACAGTTACACAATTTTATCAATCATGGCATTTATGCCACCATGATTCCACCGCTGCTACTGTTGGTGGCGATGGAGATGTTTGACCACCTGGATGCTTACCGCAAACATTTTGTGAGTGTGCCAGTGTAGGTGAGGAATGTAGAATGATAGAAAGTGGGTGGTATGAGATATACTCAGATAGTCCTCTGTGCGTGAATCTAATGTCAGCCCAAGGGGATTGCTACTGAGAAGGTTCCTCTATATATATTAGTAAAGGGAAACACTGAACTGGGCTGTTGGATAAGCCTGGTGAGGCACGCGATGATGAGTGAAGCGCGATAAGCGAAAGCGCTATGTAGCGCTACTGAGTGACAAGTGTGATGGCGCGCGCTGAGTGAGAGTAAAGTGCACGTGCAGGTGGTGGAGCGTAGCGACTCTTAGGTGAGTTGGGAAACAGGTAAGATGATGTTCATATATAAGAATATGAAGACTGGCACTCGGGCGCATTAAAGCGCTCTACTGTCGGTCGGTGGATATGACGGAGAATTCAGACTTAGAGTCCAACTACGTGCGGGAAGAAGAAGATAATCATTATACATAGAGGCAAAGGTATATATATTCTAAGTAGCGTTAAGCACTGTCAAGCGCTAAAGCGAGCAGGAAAGCGAAGCGAGTACGTGATGATATGTAATAAGGGTCCGTGACGAAACATACAGGATATGTGTGCAAGCGCCGGAGATATGTCAGAATACATGAGAATAAGATAGGAATACGCACCGACGAACTGAATGGACATGGAATGGATGGATGGAGGACGAGCGACAGAACTGAGGATACATGTGCCGATGCGCGATTGAAGCACCTGAATGTGCGAGCAGCCAATGAAGCGCCAAGTGCGCAGAAATGAGATATGGGTCGCACTGTGTTTGGAAGGTGATTAGGGCGTTGTAGAATTAGCTCTCTACAAGGCCACAGAGATGTCAGTCTCTACATCTCATAGGAACTTAGCTTCTGACTGTCCCCAGTCAGCGTACATAGGGGTGGATGGACTTAGCGAATTTTCGACGGGGAAAGTCATGTGATCGTGGGCGAAACACACCAAATCGGATGTGGAGCAAGTCCACTGTGGTCGCGTGAATTGTGGTGAGTGGGTGGAATTGTGCTGACATAATGTGGTTCATTTCCAACATAAAAGCTGGCCATGTGTCGCGCTTCTCTTCTTCAATTCAATACTCCATCGCAGCTTCGCAATTATCTTTGCTTCCATCTACCATCATGTCCTCTATCATCTTTAACCCTGCTATGTTGACTGCGTCTCCCTCTCCCTCGCCTGAACCTGAGGAGCGTCCGCAAGACAGTGGTGACACATCTACAAACGACGCCACTCTCGACAACACTGCTTCGAAGGAGCCTGAAGAGTCCATTGTGGATCAGATTGACCGTGCGTGGGCAGCCGTCCTTAACACTATGCATGTCTGCATAGACACATCTCCTCCCTCCAAGCCTGAACTCTTGGAGGAGCAGGAATCCTGGCTCCACGATTGGAATATCGCGATGGTGAGTGGCACTGTCTTATTAAGTGCTTACTTTTGCTAATGTTTTGCTTGCAGTCCGATATGACCTCTGTTTTCTACCGGGCGCATGCGGTGGGGATGCACTTGTCCCTCAACGATGTGGACGCGGTTATGTTAGCCGAGGGTAAGATTGCTGCATGGACGCTAATGAGGGCTGTGAAGACGTGGAAGGAGAAGGTGGAGGAGTCTGCCGTGACTGCGCGCCCAGTGCGCACTGAGAAGGGGAAGGCGAAGGAGGTTGTCGCCAGCAAGAAGACGGCGGAGAAGGCGACGGAGAAGTCGGGTGAGAAGGCGCCCAAACCCGTGCTTACTGATATGGGACGTCTGGTAGGTTTTTCTTTCTTTCTTCAACTTTTCGGATTTGCTGACACGTTCTCTAGCGTTTGGGTGGGTGGATGACCGCTACCTCAGTCAGCCGTCCTGCTGAGAGGTGTGAGTGTTGCGCTGCATCTGGCACTAAGTGCGTCGTTGTGCAGCTGAGCGGAAGGTGCGAGGCTGTGTTAAAGCGCAGAAGGGCTGTTCGTTTGGTGAGCTCACACTTATTACTTCCTTTTCATTTTACTAATGCTTGATTGATTTAGTTGCCACTAAGAACAAGGGATGTGCGCCGGCTGTGCCAAAGCGCAAGGTGCCTCCCTCCGCGCAAACGACTGCTCCGGATGCCAGTGAGTCCGAGGTGGAAATTGTGGGCGAGGCTATGGCTGATGAACCCGTCACCGGTACTTCAAAGTAGATTGTCATGCAGCAGCCTAAGTGGCCGCTTGCCTCTACGGCTGAACCTGTGGTGAAGCGTCCTTGCCTGGACGCTGATACTGAGTTGGAGGAGGCACGTGCTGAGTCCACTCAACTTTGCGCTGAGAACGCTGAACTTCATACTCGGAATGATAAGTACTGTCTTGCGCTACTCGATATGCGCCAGCATACTCGAACACAGGAGTCCGAGTTGCTTCACATGAGCAACCGGCTGTACATTTTGGCGCGCGACTGGGGCAATTGGGAAAAGGAGCTTGGCGAGATCCTAGAAGAGTAGATAGCCTTTAGGACACTTTTTAGATTAGAATTGCTTGTCAGCGCCAAAGAGCGCTTTGTACTATAGTGTCTCCGGTTCCTCCGGCGCCTGGTGCGCCTAATATGATAGTTCTGTCGCATGTAATCCATTTGTCTGTGTCCATGTCCAATTCCACTGTCCAAAACGATTCACCGGCCTGATTAAAATAAGAGAAACTCATGAGTGAGCACATGTAAGTAATATAGGGTCATAAGGAAATACGGCGATCGCACAAGCAGCGCGCTTGTCTTGTCTTCTTTGGGTGTCCTTTCGCGTCTATTCCTTCACATTTCCCTGTGTTTCACTTGATATTAGGTGCTGTCGTGTATAGTCTATGAGTAAAAGGGGCGCGGTGCGGCTGCACGTGTTAGAAATGGAAAGTCTATGGGGTAGTCATGCGCGCACTTCTAGGTAACTTATCTTCAGTATGTACTTGACGGTTTTATTATTGCCCAATCGGCGGTATAGAATGGAGTCTGTTGGATGTATGTTCAATGCAATGCGCGTGTTATGAGACATGATAAAAGGAAACTGAGGTTGCCGGTTGAAACCTGGGGTAAAATGGAGAGAATGGAAATTGACGGTATGTTTTTGTGATTGTTTTGTGTGTGATGCAGAAAGCGGGGATGTGCAGTTAGGATGTCGGGTGTTATGCGGGAAGTGGTCGCGCACTACACGTCGGGCGCGCGCTCTGGTTTGTCTTCATCGGGTTCTTCAATATCCTCGTCGGCTAAATGATCAAGAGTCTTGTCGTCTTTACCAGTGACGCTTGTCACCATAATGCGCTCATCGCCACGTGGATGATAAGGGATGACGCGGAACACTGCGTAGCGCAATTTAGAGATAGTGCCATCCAACTCGGCCAGCAGATATGAGCCTCCTTTCGTGTGGCACACTACAATCATAGGTCCCAAGTATCGCAGCTTCGTCTTCTTGCTTAACTTGTATTCAATCTTCGAATTGTGCACCAGTACTAAGGTACCAGGCGCATGGTTGTAATCGCGGATTGTCGCATGAAAGCACTTCTCGAAATCATGGAGAGACGTGTAGCACACTTTCATTACCTTGTCCCTGATAGCGCTGAGATCCTCTATACGCTTCTGTAACTGCCATGCGCACCAAGCAATGAGTTCTGCGGTGGTAAATGGCACGTGCGCTGGCGTCGGCGCTAAGAATGTAGCTTCTGCAAGGTCAAAAGGAAAGATTGGCTCAACACCGTGCACCATAAAATAAGGCAATAAGCCCGTTGATTTGTGCACGGTGACGCGCTCAGACCAAAATACAGAATGAACAACTTGATACCAATGAGTATCATCTCCATCGCAAGTTTTAATGATGGCCTCCTGGACATCATGGTGCTGGCGCTCTACTATACTGTTCGCTTGCGAGTTATAGGGTGATATGCAGATCAGATGGATATCGTATCTTTCTGCGAGCATGTCCACAGTGAGTCTATAAGCAGGCACATTGTCAGTAATGATCTCGGTGATAGGACCCCATCTGCATAGGAGTTCTTTGTATATGAAGGCCATGAGCGACTTGGTATTCTTCTTGCGCAACATGCGCCATTTGGGATATGATGTGAGTGTGCAGCGTGCCTGTACTAGATACTCATATCCGCCTGCTTTGTGCATCTTCATCGTGTCGATGTGTACTCTGTGAAACAAGCCTCTGGGTGTCAGTACCATCGGCAGTACTTGGAGCTTCAGCGTCTGCCTGATTTGACATTCATGGCATGTGCGCGTATACCACTTGATATCGTCGTCGATGTGCGGCCACCAAAAGCGCAACAGCAGCCGCGAGCGAACAGCATATGAGCCCATTCAGTGAAATAGTCTGTATCTCATGGCCAGCCCAATAGGACAATTCCCCGTCCTATACGAGCCATCCCATATGGGCCCATGGTTAACAATACACGAGCGTCTCGATTGGGCCCATAGTCAAATGGTAGGTGTATAGCACATTGGCACCGTGGACAATGTTTCAGCCTATGAGTCTGTGACCCACGTCTCAGCCCACATGAATAACATTTCAGCCCATGAGTCCGTGACTCATGTCTCGGCCCACATGAATAACATTTTGGCCCATGAGTCCATGACTCACATCTCGGCCCACATGAATAACATTTTGGCCCATGACTCTGTAACTTAGGTCTCGGCCCACATGAATAACATTTCGGCCCATGAGTCCGTGTCTCACATCTCAGCCCATGACCACATGAATCACATCTTGACAAATATCAAATAACATTCCGGCCCATGAACCCTGAATACTTCTCAGCCGATATAAATGATGTTTCGGCCCATGGGTTATAGAACTTTCCAATGTTTCACTGTGGCGTCCCAGAAGAAAACCTCTAGAGCTGATGTCCCAGCCATACAAGCAATACCGGCCGATCATTAAAATATGCAACACCAGTCACTCACATTTCCAGTATAGTGATGGAATACAAATCATATGAAGTAGGTGAAACAGAACAGTGAGGATGATAAAGTCTACATACCGTTTAAAATGTCTTCCACCTTGCTGTACTTTGCATAATCTTCCTCAGAATACCATGTGTGCTCCCCACGGGGCGTCTTGAAATGGTTATGAACACTGTCTCTCATGAACCATGCCCACACCCATCGGTCGCTGGTCCGCATGTCCACTGCATGGCAAACAAGCCGACTGCAGAACGCTACCATCACTCCTGAGTCATACACCAACTCAATACCTAGGTTATGTAGCTTCATGCGGGCACTTGGATAGTTGCCGACCAATGTCATTATGTCAAACCATTCAGGACAGCATTTTGGATTGTGGTGTGCGGGTGACCAGCGGTTGCCCATCACAGCGACACCTGTGAAGATCGATGCCCAGTGTCTAATGCAGCTCATACATCTCGGTTTGACCATTGGAATATGCCCAGTGTCCAACCTCAAGGGTGGTGCGCAATGAGGACCAATACAGGCTGGGGTGCATGACCCTCAATGCAGCCGAGGCGAGGAGAGATGGTTGTCGCATAGATTTTATGATGGATACACCTTGAGGGCCTTTGAGACCAGCTGATATCTCTGGACAGAAGCTCACATCAGCATTATCTTGAGCATGACCATGAGGCTTGTTGTGGTCAGGCCCTTGAATGTTGACGACGATGAGACATGACTGACCTCGTGACCTTGTTGAAACCAGCATGGAGATACATTGATGCAGCCTGGGGACACACCGGGTGTTTCGGTCGGATAGAAATAGGACCTGTCTGTTCTCCAAATGCAATTGGCATTCGCTGGGGACAGACTTTTCTTGAGGAGATCATTGGCACAATGCATCACTGCACTGATATCCTCCTGCAGCACAGTGGTTCAATGAATGACCAACACGAAAGAACACACTCACCTTCACCCAGTCCGACAGTGCCCCGGGCACATACCACAAGATGATGTGATGACCTGCATCCAACAGAACACAAGGCTTTTCAAGAACCATTTCACGACTGGGCGGAAATTTCTGCAGTAGCCTCGCTTCCTGTGTATCGCTTCGGCCTGTCGGCCATTGTCCACAAGCATCGCTGTATCATTTCATGTCGATGTTTAGCTTAACTGTTGCTGTTTAGTCAGGACATAAGTACCGAATATAAAGAGAACCTACTAGGATTGGTATATGCATCGGCCAGAGTTGATGCTAATTGTGCACAACTCAACGTGATTTGGACATCAAGCTCCATGGGTGGAATAATGCATTCAGATCGAGAAACATGGGCCCAAAATTGATCCTCAATGTATTGGCTAGCTAAATGGACCTTTTGCAATGCCCAATCCTTGGGCACTTCGACGGTATGCATGCGATGTTTTTCAATGAGTAAAATTGTGTAACAGACCTAGTGATGTGCACGGCCCGGCTTCAGGCCGTGGGCCGGCCCAAGCCAAGCCTGATTAGGCCGAGCCGAGCCGGGCCCAAGTCAGGGCCTGACCATGGCCCAGGGCCCGGCTTAACATGTTGAGAAGCCTGAGCTGGAGGCTCAGGCCGCGGCTTTAGTCCCTGCGCATCCATCATTGAAATCCATGCGTCCTTACTTTAGGGAGTCGAATCGTCTGTTACAGACTTCCGTGGACATCCGGACATCGTGACTCCGAAGACGACTCCGAGGCAGAACCAGGTGCCGCGTCCATCGGGGATCCATTGAAACCATGGAGGGCTGAGTTCACAAGCTATATCGAAACCATTGAGGCCGCTCCCTCGGCAGGTATGACCACTATTCAGTGGTGGGGTGTAAGTCACTTTCACTCGCTACTCACTCGATGCTGACTATTGTTTTAAGATCAATGCCCTAAGGTATCCAGTGTGGGCTTCGCTGGCAAGGGATTACTTATCCATTATGGCAGCATCTGTCTTGAGCGAGCGAGCTTTCTCACAAGGAGGCATCACGATCACCAAGTGGTGTAATCGGCTGAAAGGAGACATTGTCGAGGCTCTACAATGTGTAAAGTGTTCTCTTCGTAACGAACTTATATTCTGGGAGCCTGGTCCCTCATCCCTTACAGAAGAAAGTGAAGATTCTGAACATGGGACTGGCAGGTTAGAAGTTGAGCCAGCAGATGATGAGGGGTGGGATACACTGATTTTGGAGGAGGAAGAGTCTGATGTTGATTCAGCGGATGACGACAAAGTACTGTAGGACTCGAGCGCTACTTATATTGAATTTCGAGTCATTTTGTTTTTGAAAGCTGTCGTTGAGCCCAAGCCGAGCCGCAGCTTTGGCCTGGCTTTGGCCCACAGCTCGGCCTGAGGTTTTGCAAAGCCCAAGCCCCCAAAAGCCAAGCCCAAGCCGGGGCTTTCAGGCCAAGCCAGGCCCGCACATCACTAAACAGACCACAGGTGATATCTGCCGAGACATTAATTATGAGACCTCTGGCTTGCAAAGCATGAGGATGATGGTTAAAAACTTCAGTCGGGCACATGTTCCAGCACTGACGGTGCTCGGATGCCTTGCCGAGATGATGATAGCCAAAATATGCTCACATCATATCATTACCTGATTTTGGAAGGTTACATAATCAAAGCCGAAGGACGTTTCATTGGCTGACTGCTGGTGTCATTATATACATATTCCATGATATCATGAATCATAGGCTAAATATTCTCAACATGAAAAGCATATGATATAACACAATTTATGTAGCGTCAAGTTGTTATGTGCAGGTGAACAAGGTGTAAATTATAACCACGGAGTCGTCACCATCTGTCTTGCACAATGTACCATACGGCGAGAAGCTTCCATAGCATGGCTGATATTAATCTCCTCCGGGTGGCCGAGAGACTCGGCACCGATGACAGCCTCAATCTGTTTATCTTCAATCATTTGGCGAACTTCATCAGTAGCACGTGCTGCTGCTGCCCTGACTGTGAGAAGTTGCCTACTCAACGGACCTCCCTGAGGATTCATGGTGGTGGGTAAAGCAGCCAGTAATGCACCCTCTGGCTGTCCTATGTCAGCCGATGCATTGCAAAATAACTGAAATCTCACCCGTTGCTGAAAATGTTCGCTCATGATGTCTATCACTTCTGTAAAGTTTAACTGCACTTCTGCAGTCTGGAAACGCATGTCCCAGCGGTCATTCCACCAGGAATAAGGGTGATATTCAACAAGCCGACGACCTTCCCACAAACAGAGATGCTTCTCTGTGGGGCAAGCGAGGAATGAATGAGCGAGTTCTTCATAGCAAAACAGCCCCAACTGCCACCTGCCGACGAGGCCCGAAATATTTTTAACATCAGGTCAATTTATTGGAGGCATATGAGTCAAGAACGAAACTCACTTGTGCTTCCCACATAATGTACTTTCCCAGCAATTGATTTACGTTGGGTGTGCATTGTACATAGCTCTTGCCAACGGCATGGCAGATGGCCATGAATCTAGATGTCGCAAACTCAAATACATTGGCAGCATCCCAGAGTGTGAAGTGTGGTAGTGGATCATTATAGTGACCTCCAGGTTGTTTGCCTCTCATTGAACAATGGCCAGTTGAGGGCGAATCATTCCAGGATGAGTTGTCGGAAGTGCATGACATTAGTCAAGATCAACGTAGTAGCTATCAAGATGGATTATGTCGTGATGAGGACTGGTGGATATTTAAACTCAGCATACATCTCTCGGCTGGACTTTGGAACAATTTATTATGTTATCACTTACAATGCTCACTGTTAAATAATGACCCTAAAATTGAAGCATGGTGGCATCACCGGAATCTAGAAAACTATGCTATTTTGTGCGACATTCCAAATAATTCTCCACTTAAAGCATAGTGCATACGGCCGTATTGCAACCGAGCATGCAGACATCCCTCAACCAATATATGGAATCATCTTATATTATGTGTGATGTTCAATGATTGTTTACTTAACATATCGTTCGGCCAGATTGCAACCGAACCAACATACATACTTGGGCCGGAGCTTGGTTCTATAGTGCTGTCTTCAGTTGGATCAAACTATAACATCTTCTTGCTGGCACTTTGCACTATAATATATTACGTGCGAAGTTTTTCATTAATCTCAAAGTCAAGGATGGTGCTTTCAGCCGAAATGCAACAAACCAAATGGACATCGCTCATCCAGCATTTGGAAAAATCTGCTACCATGACATCGTGCATGACATGAAACATTCAAGCTAGGATGCTCGTCAATATATTCTGTAACATTTTTTTCCTAGCTTTATAATTAATGTTGTTCACCGGATGATGAATACAATTCAGATCGCCAATATTGTACCAATTTGTAGAAATGTATCTGAATACCTAGTAAATGTAACAATGTATTCAAAAGTATGCATGTCAATCCTCATCGTCACAATCCTGTTCCTCCTCCAATGTCTGCACATTGTATATTAAATCATCTAGTGAGCCAAGCATTCCATGATGATAATCAAGCACTCTGTATAACCTGACCAGATCTCTACATGCTCGTGTGACCCTATCTCTTCGCTCAGCATATGAAACCTTCACCACACGTCTAACATATATCATTTCTTCGGCCGTGGGTTCATGGCAATTCCCAATACCTGAAGACACGAGATCTCTGGCAATTTGATTGACTAAAAGATGTGTCATGAGTCGGAATATGTGACAGAGTGTATTGACTTACTTTCATGGTCATCATTGACCTCCAAGTGATCTATGACATGGGCGATGGCCTCTGCAGCATCAGCGTACAAGGGATCGTGGTTTTGAAGGCCGTCCGCCATCCTGGGGGATTTCCAGGACACATGTGGGGCTGCACGGCCACCTAAGTTCTCAACTTGACTGGCAAGTACAGCTTGTGTCAACGGTTCATTCATGATGGACTCATCCTCGTACCCCAAGCACAGATCAACTGGTAATGTGATGCCGGCTGACAGATTTATAAGTGTTGGTCCGATTGTGCTATTTGAAGCTATGGTCAGGAGAGCCTCGTCCTCATACCCCAAGCACAGATCGGCCGGCAGCGATGGATCCATAGATGCCTTGATGTCATTTAGCCGCACTAAACGATTTGAAGATGTAGTGGGGAGAGCCTCATCTGCATAACCACAGAAAGAATTAGATGGACACAGTTTCAGGCAAGTGTTGAACAATATGATTGACTGACTCACCTGAAGACGTGGTTTGGATGGCCTCACTTTCATGCCTCAAGCAAAGGTCAGCCGGCGACACCACGTCAGGTGATGGTTCCGTAACAGTTGAATGAAGGGCATGATCTGATGACTTCATAGAGAAAATCTTGTCCTTGTACCCAAAGTCAAGATTAGCCGGCAATTCAACATCAGGTGATGACTCTATTGCTGTTGGATGTACTGGATGATCTAACGGTGTGATTGGCAAGAAGTCGCCCTCATAACCAAAGTCAAGATCGGCTGGTAATAGGATCTGGGGGGATTGCTCGACACCTGCCCGGTAGACTTGAGGGTTTTGAGGTGCGGTTGCGATGTAATCTTCCTCATACCCAAGGTACAGATCAGTCATGAACACATCGTCAGCCGATTCTCCTGTGCACATGAGGTCGACAGCACAAGGCGATGGTGTATCAACAGAGATGCGACCGTAAAGATGGTTTGTCTTTGAATTAGGTTCATTTGTCACTGTCAGCCCGAAGTCGGCGATCACAGATGTGCTATTTTCGGACGAGGCTTGTGATTGCACTGCGTCATCATCACAGCCTGGGTGAATTTCGGCTAAATTGATTATGTGAGATCTGAGATAACATAATGGAGGAGGACATACCAGCAGCCGGCCGTGGCTTGCACAGACCAAGTAATTTTCTATATGTTGATTCTGATAACATATGGCCATATCCCAGAAATACCTTGTCTGAAAATCGTTAAGTTGTATTGTAAAATAAAATTTGACAAGTACCTGCTTCACTCATTTCTGCAAGATATTTTTTGGTAGATACGTCATCCTCGTCAGAAAATGCTGACAGAAGTGTCAGGATGATTATATGTGCCAAAATGAAAACATACAAGTTTGTGGCAATTGTCTGGGTGAAAAATCATGTTGCAGGTATCCAGTCTCATCACTGTAATGGACAAAGGGCACTGACACTTCAAGACAACAATGAGTACTCACAAAGCATAATGATAGCTGACCTACACATTGGGGGCCTGGATGTATCAGCAACCAGTTTTGCAGATGCATTGGCAGTCACAGGGAGGGCTTGTGACATGGATATGCCATCGTCATTGTCATAGTTGCAATCGAATGAGGCTGTAATACATGCTATTAGTATGTACTGTGCAAGAATACAATCCACACCTTGTTGGGCTGATGGCGAGGATGACGTGTCATAGCCTGCATAGAAAATCTGTAGTTTGTCTGTAAGTTTGCTATATGATGGCAAATAGAACTTACTGAATGGTTCTGCGGTCTCAACTGGAACTTTTTCATTGCCAGTGAAAACATGTAACATGTCATCTGTAGATGCGACCAATGTCAGCCGAAGTAAATAATATGTGAAACTTACAATCTACAATTGAGTGTGAGATGGTAATGTTATCCTTGGACTCAATAATATCTGGCCAGTCATCAGTGTTGCCACTGGATTGAGTGGCATAACCTGTTTCAAAATCCAACATGTCCACTCATAGTACAACCAAGGGTCAGCCAAAATCTCCTCAGCGGGGAATGGACTTACGCTGGTCCGATGCAACAATGTCTTGATCTTGACTGAAATTATCATAGCCGGTGAAAAAATTGGACGTTTCATCTAAACATCCAACCAAGATTCAGCTGACAATAACATGAGATGGAAAGGAACTCACTGTCGGAACTATGGTCGGATACTAGATTGAATCGTACACGACGCGCCATAATACAAATGCCGATAATGAACTGTCGAAATCTACAAAATTGTGATCAGTGCAGTAACTTAGGGCCACAATGATGTCACATTCAACTTAGCTACCAGTACATCACATGTGTGAGAACCCACAATTAACACACGTTAACTATTAAGGTTGTAGAAATCAATGAATTCCCACAGGTACAACATCACGTGATGTTGGCCAGCCGGTCCGAGCATCTAGTAACTTTGTTCGTCACTTTACTTCTCTTCAATTCAACTCCCACTCGAAATTGAGTACATTTGGCGATCACAAAAGATGTCCTCTCACACAGAATCCAATGCTGCCATGGAACTTGTGTACAACAAGATGCAAGACATTGTCTCCAAGGCGTTGAAGATGCAAGATGGCCACCCAGAGCATGAGAAGCAGGCATTTTCCTTAGCAATTGAACTTGTAAGTCTCAGCTCAGTTGTGATCACACTTATTAGTCCCATCTTATCAATGTAGTCATCAGCATTAGGTTCTCATGGCCAATTGGCCACATTGATCCTGCCGATGGTATTGTCCATTGCCGCAGAGATCAAGGATGCCACCCACCAGAGAAAGTTCTTGAGGCCGATTAACTGGCGATCGCTACGACACGATGACCCTCGTATTGACGACCACCCCCTCAAGGAAAAAGCTCGTGCATACATCGCGAACCATACCATCGAACCAGCAACCATGCCATCTTTGGCAACCGGATCTTCGGACATGGCATACACATCTGCAGCTGCTGCCATGGTAGAGGTCAATCCTAATCCCACAGCGAAGCCAGACCACGTCGCCCGACGTTTCCATACTACCCCCCCTCGCCCATCTCAGATTCAATCTCATACATCCTCCCGGCCTCGATCATTTGGACTGGTATCCAGCTTGACGGAGACACAGGGGAAGGGGAAGGGGAAGGGAAAGGAAGCTGAACCATCGACACCCCATCAGCCGATTGCCTCACAAAACACTTGCCGAAAATGCTCTCGAAGTCCAACTGCCCCTCCCAATCGGGCAGTCAAGAGACGCCGGAAAATTCAGAAGTCAAGAGTGATCTTGAGTGACACGGAAGACCAGGATGCCACGGATGACCAAGACGAGGATGAAGAAGACCAAGACCAGCGGATGGAGGATGACAAACTGATGAGGACTGCCGTTAGCAAGGCAAAAGGGAAGCAAAAGGCTAAGTGAGAACCTGATAACAACATTACAAGAGGACAGTCGATGCTTCCATCGATTGTAGTAAAGGTTAGTGATTCTTTTTCTTTCCCTTCAATGTGTTTATCAATCTACAACCACAGCAGAAGAAAAATCTGCCCAGTACATCCAAGCCAGCACCTGGGACATCGGCCACTTCATCACCGAAACGCCCATGGGATTGTGATCTGTGCTTGCGAGCGGGAGTGCCTTGTCTGCCTGGAATTGGGAAATGCACTAAGAGGCCCATTGGTGCATGTGCCCACTGCCACCAGAGCAAGCTCAGATGCAGGCCACCGACAGACACCATTGTCAGCCCTCCTGCCGCAACCACCAGCCAACCAGAGCCAACAAAAAAAAACATAACTCGGTCAAAATCTCGGGCTCGGCCAGTCTCCTCCACCAGGACGAGGGTAGGTACACAGACCTCAGTGGTGAGGGATGAATCTGTATTGCTTGAGATGTCGTCTGCTGGTGGTCAAACAGGTAAATATAATTTACTATTGATGTCCATTGTATATCCTAACTAACGGTAACAAGATACTCGGGAGTCATCTCCAAATATCACTGATGCTCAAACACCAAACTCTGCAGATGACAAATCAATGGCTGTTGATGTCGACCCCATGCGCAGGCCGGACAGATCCTCCGTCAACATTGTTCCTCCGGCTGACAAGGATCATATTATGCACGACATGATGGCCGACATAGATGCGACTGGTGTTGGGACTGGCGAGCTGGATGTCATGGAAGAAAGTAATGTGCAGGTCAACATTGATTCGACGGCCAAAGTCAATTCGACGGTGCCACCTCCTGTGCAGCAACAAGAACTTCCACCTGCAAATTTTGACCTTACCGGAGAACAGAGACTCACTGGTTTGGAGCAGAGGGTGTTACGTCGACCGTTGGTCGGCGTGTGCAAACTAGGATGGGTCTTCTCAACGACAACTCAAGTGAGTCTACTGAAGCTGAGCGTGGTCTGGCCTTGATGGAACGTCAAGGATTCCTCCGGCGATCTCGGTAAGACGGCGCTCGTCGAGATGCAGGGCTAGCGGATACGTGCTAAGTCGTATGGGGGCGACTTAGAAGTGCGGTCTCACACAAGGAAGCTGGTAAGCTTTAGATGAGCAAGTTCTGGGATGAACCTAGTAGATTAAAGTAAAGTCTAAGTACAATAATCTGTGTCTACTTATAGGGAAGTACTACATGTATTCTAGCTCAGTCTGTAATCAATAGTATATCGTAAATCTATGATAGCCAGACATGAGGTTCAGATAAGATACATGAGGCTTAACCTCTGATCAAGCATGCTGCGCCAAGGGCAGCTGCGCATAGGTACAGGAAGCGCCAAGCGCGCTCTGGATTCTCATGAAGCGACATGTGGTATGCATGCGCTGATCTAGGGTGACCATGAGGCATACTGCCTCCATGGATCAGGTACACGGCCTTCTAGGCCAGGGGCGGGACATAGCGCCAGGCGGGGTCATAGCACCAGGGGCGGGGTCATAGCGGTCCAGACTGCTGTCTTTCTAGGCGCAGGCGGCGCACCGCCGCGCGGGGAGTCTAGCAGAGCGGGGGCAGGCGTAGGCAGAGCTGGGGCTCTTGTAGGTGTTACAGATGCCTGTAACAGAGGGTGGATCTGTTGGAGCAGGGAAACATAGTTCTCAACAGCCAGTTAGAGGCCACCAGTGCATCCCTCCGTGTCAGTCAACTCCAGCTGACAGAGGTTACACATCATCTGGCCACAATGGTGGTTGTCTACGAAGGCTTGTGTCGCACATATGTGTCCAATGACCCTATGTTTCCTGCGCCAGTCGCATCTCAGTCCAACATCACCTTGCCACCAGGTGTTGGTTGGCAGCAGGTCGCTGATGAGATCATCCATAGCGGAGTCTTCACCAGCCTCTCTCACCAATCACACAACCAGCAAGTTGCAGGAACATCAACTCACCCAAGCGACTCGGCATTGGCAATGATGGGAGTGGCAGGAAGGATGGTGTCAGTAGAACGGCAAAGACAGGCCGACATCTTGGCCGGGCAGGATTACTACAGTATTTTGGGAGACACTCAAGGATCGGTGCCGATGCTCACCCAACCCGTCCCACCCTCTCCTACAGCCAATATATCACTTCCCGCAGCTAGTACGGACCAAACAGTCACCACAACCTCGTCTCGGGCATCAGCACCTCCCAGTATGGCTATAACAATGAGTCCATCATCACTAGGGCGGTCTTCATCTTTTCCAGGTGCACCGGCCAGCACCAATGTACCCGGCCTGTCTGATTCTCATCATCAACCTTGCACCCAGCAATAAAGTAGGAAGGCCATGCTTGATAATGAATGTTTAATGTTGTAGAATAGGTGTCAAATGGTCTACATACATTTACATTAATGCCGAAATGTACCATATTGTATTGCAAGTTCTTGAATGAATCAATACAATGACTGATTTCATAAGGTTTACCGCGCGGGGATTTGGAAATGTGAAACCGAAGGTAAGCAAGCATCAAAGTTCAATATGTAATACATTGTCATGCAATTGAGTACAGTCAAGATCACATTTATTGTGACACACTCCAACAAACACATTTTGGCCGGCCGATAGATGGGAACTGCCAACACATCGGTGTTGTGCAACACTATTCGTAGTCAGCATACCTGCTGGGCAACCTTCTTTCTCTAACTGCCTGTTTCCTAGGAGGTTCTGGCAGTTCATCTACTCTCCGTTGTTTGACGCCTTTACCCTGTTCTGGTCTCAGCATCAGATCTGCACCCGTCCCTCCTGAACAATCATCCATATGTTGTCAATTGGAGGATACAGCTGCATTTGCGTTCTGAGCAGTATTGTTGGCTGCTCTGACTGTGTGAACTTCAGTTGGTGTCAATGTCGTTCCGGATGTCTTTTCGGAAGTCTTCCTATCCCTCAGTGGCAACATACTGGGTGTCTCATCCAGGGAACCATTTTGACCTTGAATCATCCTGACAGTATCTGCGACAGGAGCCTGTAAATGCTGTTTATCCACGAAGTGATCAAGGAGAACATGTTTGCCTGTGGCAGTTGGACGATGACTGCTGGTGCCAAGCATTTTTCCGGCTGGCCGAGGTCTTGGCCGAGATCTCTCTACAGGTAGATTGTTTGGTACTGGTGTCACTACGGCACCTGTTGGAGATCCTTCATTTATCGCAGCCATGGCCGAGGTGGACATCAATGACTTTGACTTCTCTGGATGCCCTGGCCGGGGTGGTGGCTTGGGCACAAGTATTTGAGGTTGTGCGACGATGTTATTGTGTTGTGGTGTAGAATTTTGTTTGGCCATGATAGGACCGACGGTCAATGCATTCTGAAAGATATGCCTTTGATTTACTTGCTTCAACTGGCCGGCCGGGCCAGGCCGAGGATGTGGTCTTTGCAATGGCGTCACTAGATTTCTCGTAGCTCCACTCTTTGCACCTTCAATGTCCTTTGGTAAACATTGGTTGTGAGGTGATGATGAACTTACATTAATGTCCGGGGTTGACTCAGAGCCGATTCTGTGTCTCTTCCCGCCCCTGATGTGCTGGATTTTCTCTGCCCAGCCAATCACTATTGTTGCCGTCTGAGAGATAAATATCGGAGGATAAGTCACGTCAATCTCGTCGGTCTGTGGTAAACGAGTCCTGATTCCTCTCTTCACTAATGGCCTTGGTTGTATTGAATCATCGGACTCTGGCTCCTTTCTACAGGAGATGGAGGCAACCCTCGCCTTCACATGACCATTGCCTTTCCATCCAGCATTGAGGCTTGATTGGCTGTCAATGTCAATCATTGGACCAATGGGAGAGTTACAACATGACCCAGTGGTTGCTCTCTGTTTTGCAAGATGCTTTGACTTTTGACGTGGTGAAAGGTGTGCATCATCATCGTCCTCAGAAGACTCCTCGTCTGTCTTCTGGTCACCGGTGCTCCTTGCTCTTGATTTGTGTGTCCTAGACCATTTTAATGGCTGACGGCTTCTAGCTCGATCATCCGACCTCTGAGTTGATTTCCTAACAGGAGAGTATATGTTTCCATCTGAGTCCACCCATCCCTTGAATTCAAATGTGGTGTCAGTTGTGTGTTTCTGCCTCTGACGCCAGAATTGAAGAAGTATTTGAGCCTCAGCCTTCTTCAGCTTGGACAGATCTTTTATTCTTGTTGCCTCAGGTAGATATTTACTCTCGATGAATTCTTCTTGCTGCGATATAATTGTTGCCCACAGAACAGGAACTTTCGGCTTCTGGCAACAATGTCCTGTTCACAATGTCAGTTCAGCCAAAGCATGTCCAACATCCAGCTTACGGTAATGTACTGTCATGAAGTCACAAATAAGATCCTTTGTGGTTTGAAGGTCAAGGTCTTGATTGTCCGGGAGGATTGGCATGCCCTCGTTATCTGTTACAGTAACATGACACGAGTCCCCCGCCAGCAGAGAGCCCTCTGCCACCCGCACGGCTATAGACGACACCGGAGCCTCACCAGCTCTATAGACAATAACCGGAGCATCACTAGCTCTGTGACGACAGATGACGATAGATGATGACAGACGATAAGCGGCAACTGCCGGCTTAGATAAGCGGTCTGGACCGCACGTGACGACACATGACGACATAGGTCTAGAAGACCTATTAATGTTATCAAGATAGAAGGCATGCCTCGTGCTGCCTCGAGGACGATAGAAGGCAAGCCTCGCGCTGCCTCATGTACAGATAGAAGGCAAGCATCGTGTTGCCTCATGGACTGATAGAAGATAAGAAGGATACCACGTGGATCCTATCTCTGATGGAAGCGTACCGCATGGACGCTATCTACGATAGAAGCCCGCCTCATGGACGCTATCTCTGACTCATGTAGATAAGCATATTAGAACCCAGCTTTAGGCTGAGCTTAGATACGATAGAGTAGCCTTATATAAGGTCGAAGATTAAAGTAGACGTTCCTTACTTTAATCTTACTAGGTACATCCCAGAACTAGTCTAATCAACTAGCTTTATCCTTGAACTCCTTGTCCCGCTAAAGCTACCTGCTCGACATCGACTCGTACCTTCAGTGACGCCTCTCACTGTCTGTAACTCTGCTATCATCTCAGCGTAACCCCTCGTTAACCACCACGAGCTACGTTCGAGTACGCAACCTTTGCTTGTCTGTAAAGGCCGACGACTCTCAGCACTCGGTACCACTGTCGTGGTTGTCGCTGTTAGAACTATCCTAGTCGCACACGACCGTTTGTCGTAACATTATCCAATTCAAAGTGAAACAGCTGTCGAACCTGCTGTGTCTTTCCACAGATCACCCGATCGTCGGTCCCTTCCTGCATATCTGGTGGGTGACACTCAGCACACATCCTGGCAGACTGACAATCACTTACTGAACTGTTCCTCTGCATATGGATTCCATTCTTCCAATATAACTTGCCAATCCTTAGTATCCATGAATCGTTCACTGCTGCCAATTTTGTCGTTGAAATCATGACTGCGTTTTATATCAGTGTGAATATATAACCGAGCATGACCTTCTGTACTCACCCTCCAATCATTAGCTTTTCATCTTGTTCCTTCCATGCTGATACCATGAATATTCTCATTCTGGCTTGCCTGTACATCTCTGTTGCAAAATGCTTCATCAATGATTCACCCTTTGTCTTGGCAATATTGGTTTGTATATCTGCTGGTGGACCTTCCTGTGACCATGCCAATGTGGTCGCTTTGGCCTCCTTTAACTCATCAGAGGTAAGACCTTGCATAATTTCCATGACAACCCATTGGTAATGTTTCATCATTCCCTTTTCCCCCGGCTTCATCCCAGTCTGCTCCTGGATGATGGTTTTTACCTCGGCCTTTCATTGTTGTTTGATCACCTCTCGAGCTGTCCATTTTCGGCCATACTTGATGAGATGCTTCCGAATGCGCTGCTTGCATGCACCATTATTGTAGAACCATTGCTTGTACATCTGGCATGCATGGTAACTGAGGAGTGTTTAAAGACAGCCGAGTGACATACATATTTGCGATGCTTCAGTGCATCCTTGTCCATCTTTGGGGCCAGAAGACGAGCTTCCTTGACAGCAGCATTCAGTACTGCATGGCATTCTCCACCTTTGCAAGAGTTCCATTGCTCCAGGTGTGATTGCAGGGCAAGCCATTTATTCTCATTTAATGCGATCTGCTTGTCGTCACCTGTCTGAGTCCTCTGTCGAGCCATTTTGCAATGAGGAATCTTTCTGATAAAGTGCTGGTAATACGCAACAGAGGATGAATGTAGTACAGATTTAGTACAGATTTATTGTTGTTATCCAAACACATGAATCTGTCATCATGTCCTGATCAATGTCATACTTCTCATCAGTGCGACCAAACATGCTTTCCATAAATATCGGTTTCAACCTATTATTGTTGACTAGCATTTGAAAACAGTGTATAAACAAACAAACAAACATTAAATATGAAGAGGCCAACGGTGTTCAATAATCCTTGGCCGCTGAGTTCCAGCAATGGTGCAAACACCTCGGCCGCGAGATAAATACTATTTTAAATGAGCCTCTCTTGCTGAAACATCTTGGGTTATCTCTTCCTCCACCTTGTTGTTTAATGTGAGACGTTGCATGATACTTGCAATTGTACCATCATTGGTCCGTGACATCCTCTGTACAATCCACTTCAAGCTACTTTTGTGCATGACAGAACTCATTGCCACAGGTCCTCAAAGAACATCCTTGCATATAATCTTTCAGCCAGAGGCATTGGTATAAAACCATTCCAGGTATAACTGTTGTAAATGTCATCTCAGATGATCGTTGATTACAAGAACAAATTTACACACCCATTTCCGCTGTTTCAATTTCCATTGATGCATGTGAGGTGCGAGAGGTTGTACATGCTCCTTTACCTCCATCAATACATTCTTGCGCACTGTCCCTGTAGCAGAGTTCCAGTCATCCAGATGAGTTTCAAGGGCAAGGACTTCAAATTCATTCAGAGGTATCTGATTGGTGACTCTACTGAATTTTCGGATGTAAGGCATGAGTCAAAAAGCAATTTCAATGATGTGATGCAAGTTGGTGGTGGTGTTCGTGCAGGGAGGATGTCAAGTCAAAATGACGTTGCCATGTCAAATTTGAGCTGTCGGAATATCATTATCTAATGGAATAGCAGGTAAATAATGATGTTAATATCACACAAATTGGAACGTCCTAGTATAGGCTACCATCCTCGCCTTTTTTACTCTCCACATGGGAAAATCTATAGTAAAGGAATGGACACCACAGAAGAGTGTCAGGGTCGTAGTATGGAAAAGCAGAAACACTAACAGAGGGGACAAAGGCCGGTGGGTCGACATCGCACACAACCAATGCTCCAAGCAAAACCAAGAAACTCCGAGCAAATCAACACCCCACCGATCACAAAGCATCTTATACAGTGTGTTACGTCGACTGTGGGTCGGCGTGTGCGAACTAGGATAGGTCTTCTCAGCGACGACTCGAGTGAGTCTACTGAAGCTGAGCGTGGTCTGGCCTTGACGGAACGTCAAGGATTCCTCCGGCGATCTCGGTAAGACGGCGCTCGTCGAGATGCAGGGCTAGCGGATACGTGCAAAGTCGTATGGGAGCGGCTTTGAAGTGCGGTCTCACACAAGGAAGCTGATAGGCTTAGATGAGCAAGTTCTATGGTAGAACCTAGTAGATTAAAGTGAAGTATAATCTACAACAATGTATGTACTTATACATAGTAGATGTAAGTGTTCAAGCTCAGTCTGTAATCTATAGTATATCGGTAATCTAAGATAGCCAGACATGAGGTTAGATAAAGTACATGAGGCTTAACCTCTGATCATACATGCAGCGCCAAGTGCGACTGCGCAATCAACAGGAGGCGCCTGGAAGCGCCCTGGGTCTTCATACATGAGGCGCCAAGGGCGCTCTGGATCTTCATGAAGCGACATGCTGTATACATGCGCTGATCTAGGGTGACCATGAGGCGTACAGCCTCCATGGAACAGGTACAAGGCCGTCTAGGCCAGGGGCGGGGTCATAGCATCAGGCGGGGTCATAGCGCCATGAGGCGGGGTCATAGCGGTCCAGACCGCTGTCTTTCTAGGCGCAGGCGGCGCACCGCCGCGCGGGGAGTCTAGCAGAGCGGGGGCAGGCGTAGGGAGAGCTGGGGCTCTAGTGGGTGTTACAGATCCCTGTAACACAGTGGTGGAGACGAACAATATGACATAGGTGCCATGCATGTCTCGGCTCCAGCGCTGCCAAAGTCCCTGGTAAGACAATTGCACAGTGTGTCCCAGTATTACATCCTAACATGCGAATGGAGAGCCAGAATGACTATCTTCAGCAGTGGCAACTGTGCACTGAGGAGTATCTCATGCTGCTGCTAGACAGAAAAGCACCACCCGTCGGCCGTGCATGTGTCATCTGTGAGCAGGCTGGTGTCTTCAGGTGTCATTGTTGCTTGGGAGAACCATTTTATTGCTCCAACTGCTGCTGGACCACACACAGAAGATTGCCATTTCATCACATTTCTGAATGGAATGGAACATACTTTGAGGAGTCCTCCCTAACGAAGGCTGGCCTAGAGTTTTATCTTGGCCATGGCGGTGAGCCATGCCCGAGTGATCCAGACATTCTCACCAGTGACGTCTTTGACTGGGTTGAGACAGATGATCAGATTGACCCAGACAACATACCCCCTGAGACTGTCATGACATGGGTTTTTGACATGAAGGCCACAACGATAGTAGACAAGACTGGGATACACTCGCTCATCTTGAGGTACTGCCAATGCCTGAACTCTCTCAGTCCAGATAGGCAGCTCTTTCAGATGGGTATGTTCCCAGCATCCTTCACCCACCCAAAGACAGCCTTTACGTTTGCGGGATTGGACAACTACCTCCTTGACAATCTGGAATGCGGGACATCAGCCATGAATCATTTTAGCAAGTTAAGATGAATGACATCCAGTGTTTTCCCCCATATCGTTCCAGTAAGTCTAAAGTCTCTTTCGGCCGACACATTATCAGGTACATGATGAATGCTCAATGATCTGTTCAGGACCGTTATTGAGAAATGATGAGAGTTTCAAGACAATGGCGGCAGCTAAAGTCTCTGAAATGGAATGGCTTTGGGCATGAAGTACGAAGACCAAAATTGGGGGAACTGGCCCTGTTTTGCCCTGCATGCCTGCAGTCAGGGATTAATATGACTCTCCTGGAAACAGATTCAGCCGGCCGAGATCCCAATAATACTTGGTTATATACTTGATCGTTAGTCATGGATGGCAATTTCAAGGCTGAGCATTTGCATATGGCAAATCCCAATGATGGAGTTTGGTTAATGGATGGTCAGGGCTTCATGGTGGGCAAAGACCAATACAAACTTCATCTTGACCAGGCCAAGGACCACATTGAACGGTCGGACTGTAACAATCACAAGGCAGTCAATCTAGCCAATGCATCCAGGCACAAACTCGAAGCAACTGGAATCGGTGGTTGTGCATGTGCCCAGCACGGCTGCTTTGTTCCTCACTCAATGGTAGATTTCCAAAAGGGAGAATGGTGGGTGGCATGAACACAGTGTTAATTAGCTTATTTAACATCATTTCTACCATAGGCAAATGAATATGGATTATGCGCTTTGCCAAGCACTAAATTATAATACTGCTGGAATCACACGTGCTCTGACCTTTTACGATGTTGACTGTCAATACAATAAGAATCTCAGGAGCCGAGTAGCCCAAAGTCCCTATTTAGAGATGCCAGTCGATATCAACATCACACCAGGAATCGGCCTGTGGCATGTTCATGGACATCAAGAAAGCTGTTTTGTATGCTACACATCCAATTTCATTCCTGGTGCTGCAAGAATCAATGGAGAGATAATGGAAACATTGTGGTCGCCCCTGAATATTATCTCACCATCGGCCTGTGGCATGTCGACTCCTCACCGAAAGGAGTGCTTGGATTACCAGATGTAATTTCATGAAAATGATCTGGATGAGTATGTCATTGATACATTTCTTCGTTTGATGATTGATTGGCAATTGTTTGACGATAGGCAAATCACTGTGCTGTAAATACAAGCAAGCTATCACCGGTTGTGCAGATTCGAACGAGGCCTTCGAAAAGCTCAATTCCACCGCTGATCCAGCTCTGGTGGAAGAATGGGAAATGCAAGAGGCAGACGCTCAAACAGCCTGCCTACATGATCCAAAATCTATGGATATATATGATGTACAATTGCAGAAAGGCAAGTCACCAGTATTTTCTAAACCCGGTCTAACAATGTTGGTCACAGCACTGAGTCGAGAGCAGCAAGAGCTACATTTATTAAGCTCGCAGACCCAGCGAAAGGTTTCTCCGTCTCATAGAGGAGCTGCGACATGGCTTGCAAATGGACTGACCCTCAAGGAGATCCAAATTGGCTTGGCCATTGATTTATGAAAGCTCGGCCGACGGCCGACTGAGACTCAAATATTGGAACTTGCCCATCGCAGGGACAAATTGCAAGGTGATATTGAGAGATGGGTAGAAGCCGGTGCAACGTTCTTCGGCCAGGGATACGATCATGTGGAGACTTCCATGGATGTTGCATTCATCGTGAACCATGCACCCTCTGATGATTCTGACATTGAACTCGATTATGATCCAATCAGTCGGGTGTCATCGGCTGGATATCATCCAGAGACTACTGTAATCCCAATGCCTTCAAATGTTGGCATTCAACGATGTGAAGAGCTCGGTGTCAGTGACCTTATTGAGCAAGAGATCCAACTCTGAGTAGGTCAGGCCAATGATGCCTTGCAAAATATCAGGGTCTCCTTGGCTGAGAAGGATATCTTACTACGAACAACTGTACGACCTGCCAAGTCACAAGCACGATCCACTCGAGCATGGGCCCAGGTTTGGTCGGTCGACAGGGCAGTCAGACTCAATGTGAGCATCTACTCAAAATGCAGGATGCAGCTCCAGGAACTTGGTGCAGATGAATTGCTTCTGAAATATCGGCCACTGCTCAAGGAACATTTGAAAGTAACCACGGCCGTTGCAGACCCAAATGCCAGAGGGCAAAGGAATGACACTCTGGCTTGGTTTTGGTCACTTGATGTTCAAGGGGATTCTACCAGCAGTGATTGGATGAATGAATGTAAGCCATTGCTTACCTATTTGCATAACTGTCAAACCAATAACCATGTTATCCAGTTTACAGGGTTCACTGGCTTCGAGTGAAAGCCCTATGAGACCACTGGCAGGAAGAGTTTACCCTCGTAGAGCATGAAATGACATGTACTCTGGGTTTCTTCAATTACAAATGAGCGACTTGGTTATGTTGTGGTCAAAATGCCCAAGACAAAAAGCAAGAGGGACACGTCTGCTATGCTGGCAGGCAGGCAAGCATGTTCCAATGACTATATCAACATGCTGAATCAATGTTTAAGAAGACAAAAGTATTGGCGGCCGAGGCAGGTACATGAGTGCAAGATTGGAACGAGCATGATGTTGTGACATACAAGATAGCAGACTTTATTCAAATACTACAGCGACTTCACATTCATGATGTGTTATCGGACAAATATAAATTTAGAAAATTGCAATGCATGTCTTCAATGAGGCAGATATAAATCATTTCACAACATAAAACTAAACATCAGGTATAGCGAGGTTGAATTAAATAGACTAGTGCTGTGTGGTCTTGGAACGAGTGTAGTCACTTACTGCCTCTCATTTACTTTGGGAAGACTTCCAGTTCCCTCCTTTCACGCCTGATGCGAGCAGAAATGCGGCAAGCCTAACACAATTTTGAGGATGTCATGGGTCAGAATGATTCCCGTTCACCAGAGTTACATCATACCTTGATGTAAACACCCCAGTGCGCCAACCACGATGAACAGAGTAGAACTTCTCAGCACCATCAGATTCCGTGCTAGTGATCGAAGCTGTCCATCTGGCCAACCACCAAGGGCCTTCCTGGATCTGATCAGCAGTAGCTGATTGACTATCTGCAAAATCCTGCTGCTGTGCTTTGCAAGCAGCATGAGAATGCCTGTTTGCCTGTTCCCTGGAAGCAGCCTGCATGTCTTTAGCTGCACATGCATTGCAGCGACTGGTCGATGGATTGTGCAGCTGGTGGTGTTGGTTATCAATGTCTAGATTGAACTGAAATATTGTCATGAACCACACCTTAGCCCCAAATGTGTGGCCAATCATATGATGTCATCGGGTCTCAGATTCTGAGGATGTCGTGTCCACTTCCACACGAATCTGTATGTCTCTGGAACCATGCGACTCACGTTGAGTGACAATGATTTGCAAATTCTGATTTGGTGTAACAGACTGTGCTATACATTCTAGATGACGTGGAATATCATGTAAGTACAGCTTGCATTGTGTATAATAATGCACATACCGGTGTGTTCCACACCTATGTGGCTATCGCTACTTTTACGAACCATGACTGGTTGAAAATTATTTGGGACGCTGATGAAGTAAAAGTCGAACGTGGTGTGAGTATAATAAGTATATCAAAGCAGAATCATCAATTATTCCGCAACAATCATTACGTACATATCAGCTGTAACGTTCAGTTCAGAGTCGGCTGTAATACGATTCAGGCAAGTTCTAAGTATGCATTGCCCCTGGACAATATTAATTGAACCAATACAATTTCAATCACTCAGCCAAGGAAGTTAATGGTTGACTGTCGGCCGAGCGGGCACATGGTATTCAGCCACCGGCAGAAGTTTTACATTTTTTGGCCTCAACACGATTTTGTCAATTGATTACAAAGCTTACAGGTTATTCGGTTGAATCTTTATATGGAATGAGCGTATTATGTAGTTGAAATATATTGTTGTGGTGCATCACAATGTTGGTGGTGTAATAATTTGGTTGCAGAATCAGTTTATCCCTGTCTGCGACTCTACAGTGGCACTGCAATTCTTATTCAAATGACCGACCATTTTCAACATAGTAAGAAAGTTTTGACCGAAGCAGTTGGCCGACTGGCCGACAATGATAAAGCTGCTTGCTGAAGTGTGAAATGTGTCAAAATCTAGCAATTTACAATACAGATGAGATTTATGACACCGTTAATAATGGCTAATGTTACGATCTATGATACATGCTAGAACTACTTATTCATCAAAGACTTCTTAATGTAGCACAACTGTTCCTCTAATTCTTCGCACCGTTTGAGGGTGCTCCTGCAAATCTCCTTCATGTTTGCCAGATCCTTCTCCACCTTCCTGACCTCTACTTCCAACCGCTGCCTTTTTCGGCATTGAGCTTTCTCTTCTTTCTCCTGCCGGAATCCCAATTGTTCGGCCGTTTTCCCAACACGACCAAGTCACTTGAAGAATTGCGTGATGCTCCATGTTCATCTGTAGTATTTGTGTGTTCTGTAACTAAACGATCTTGTTGAGTAGAGAGATAAATATGTTACAAAACAACGCACCATGGCTGCACCACTGCTTGCACACAACACAAGCTTCATTTGGACGAATGATGCAGTCTTGCTTCATGATCATGCAATGACCACACCCTGGGCCCTGCAGAACCATGGCCATCATCTGTGTATTGTGCATTTCTTGATGCCCTGAAGTGTTTCATAAGATTAGTGAATAAACAAGATATTCAAATTCATTACTTACCCTCGGTGAGAGAACAAAGTCGCTCACATCACTCACATCACTGGAAGCATGAAAGACTTTTTCAGCAAGAAAAATGTTGAAAAATTTGTAAAAAAGGTTTAAATACATCGAAATTAGCAATGTATTTAAACCTTTTTTACAAATTTTTCAACATTTTTCTTGCTGAAAAAGTCTTTCATGCTTCCAGTGCATGCACGTCCAGCCAAATATTGCTTGCATGGTGTTCCTTCGGCCATGCATGAGTCACACCCAGGGTTTCTAGCCATAAACGCTGAGGATAGTGCCATAGTTGTATGTAGCTGTATGTGGGAAGGATTGTTGTAGTCAGAGTCAAATGAATGAATGTTTTGAAGCGTGAGTATCAGGAACCTATGTGTACTTACAGAAAATATAGTTGTGGACTTCATGGAAATTGCCGAAGAAGTGAACTGCCTGGCATTTGGGAAAGACAATAAAATATCAATTACACCAGGACTTACACGGAAACACTGGATGTGAACTTGAGTATACTTACAGATGACATGAAGTGCCTAGTATTCGGCCATGAGACATCCACCCATCACTTATACCAGGCATTAATTCAATGTGCTTGCCGAGTTAATGTCTCCTCTTCTCAAGATGTTAATAGAATGTCTATGACAATTCAGTAATGGTCCTGCATTCCGTAAGAGCATCTAAGTGTAGCCATCTATATATGGCCGATGTGACATTTACATTCAAAGCTCAGGATGCGATGAAGCGCAATACACTACAGAATATCTATACTAATGTACATTGATTAATGAATTTATCTTTCTGTGAGACATCCATTGAGATGCGCCAACTCATGCTCCAATTCTCTACAAGCTTCCTCAGCCCTACGGTACATCTTCCGCATTTCAGCCAGATGCTGCTCGAGGTCCTTCATCTCCACCTCAAGTCTCACCCGTGTTGTCTCATCCAGTGGCCTATCGACCCAGTTAGATGGCTTGTGATCTAAGATGATCACTTCATCGGAGGAGTCAGAACGTTCAGATTCTGTGTCAGATGGGTCGTCAATGGCGTGTTCTTCAGCATCTGTGACAACCGAGGCGTCAACGACTTCTTCTTCAGTATCCTTCACAACTAAGGCATGAACACTTGAGCATGGTACAAAAACACAAGTAAATTAACACTTACCATTGCTACAAAGCTGTTGACATGGGATGCATGTGTCGCCCGTCCATCCTCAGCACACCTTTCAGGTACCCTTGCAGGAATCACAGCCTGGACGCATCCTGCGCATCGCACTCATTATGCCGGTGTGCCTTGGGGGAGGTGCTAATATTGTGAAAGTTAGTCAAGAGTGTAGATGTATGGCCACGGCTTACCTGGCAACAGAGAACAACAGTTAGAGCATCTGCTGCATGCTGATGCAGAAAAATACACATAGCATGGTTTATTGTCAGCTATGCAGGATTGACATCCTGGCTGTTGCAACGTCAATTTTCGGGCAGGAAACATGGATGTGGGTAATCAGATAGTTGTGTTTGAATAGAATGTCGCAGAATCGGCCATGAACCTTGTAATTGTCCAAGAGACTAATAAATATCCACAACGGCCATTGCCGGATACGTCAGTTGCATTCTGCCAGCAGTGGCTACAATGTCACAATTCTGTATATTATGTAACATATTCATGTTGATTATTGTACATGTGAGCTCAGCCGCTACTGTATACATATTTCATAATATAATTTATTAGCACTCTGGTGTCCACAGACAATCAATGATGTGTTTTTGTGAACGTCGAGTAATTTGGCTAATACATGTCAAAATTCAGGCCATTGTCCGATATTCTAGGAAGCCAGTCACGTTTAACAGTGGCCATTGGTCAAATGTTCCAAAGTCATGGATGTATTGACGGCGCATGTCTCAACATATCTGTCATCCATATGTATTATATTTGTATGATATTGACACAGGCGTTCATCATAGATTAGTGTATTAGGCAATATGATCTCGGTCATGCACCATAGTGACATGCCGATCGACGCTTATGAGGATGTTGATGGAGCCGGCAATCGTAAAGTCCCGACCGAGGCCTCATTGAATGCCATTCCTTTGATATCAAGTCATTTTAATGAGCGTGTCAGACGGTAGTTGAGCGATTATATTCAAGACAGGTAAAGTAAAGACAAGCTGAAAGCCTGTATATTCGGCTGGCTGTATGTGCCCAATCAAATATATGGCCGTTTGGTGTGGGCACCCGCCATATGTATAAAAAAGCAATGTAAATCACATAAGTCTGTACTATGTACATGGAATGTCTATCTACTCCTGGCCGAGTCGCTGCTTCAGATACTGAAACTTCTGCCTAAACTCCTTGCACATTTCCTCCATACTGTGGTGCAATCGCATGACACAACACAGACATTGCTCAAGATCCGTCATTTCATCAGTTAATGTTCTGTCGTGCTCTACCTGGTATGCCTCTGGCTTTATCGGACGTTCTCTCCAGTCATCCGGCCAACCGTCCAACATCACAATGTCCGCCGAGCAATCGGACTGATCGGACACTAATTCCAGTGTAGCAGTATCCATTGTTACTTGAGGAGACATTTGTGAGTGAGTATTCCGTTGGATGTAAGGCCAGCATACCGTGGCTGCATTGCTGCTTGCAGGTGAGACAGGCCAAACCTGGCCGAGCCATGCACTGCTGATCTGTACTTGTACAGTAGTCACAGCCTGGGTCCATGTGTCCTACAGCACTCTGAGCCGTATGGCAGTTTGGCCGATGCTCTGAGACTATATTTGTAAATGTGTGAGATGGATGTTATATGCTACATACCCTGCACAATGGAACAGTGCTGCCTACATCCACGGCATGCATCTCCAGCCCAATATCCAATGCATGGTAGGTTGTCGGCTACACAGCATTCACATCCAGGATCCCTGAACTTCAATAGAGGGAATGGTTGCATCGTTTGGTGATGAGATGAGGTGAGCCAGAGGTTTTGTGTGAGAGAGATGGTTAAAGCCCTAAAGGCCGCACCAATGGACACATGTATTATCCAATGTACCAGCCGCAGCCGGCCGAATGAATCTCATGTGTTTTGGACTGACATACAATCAGCTTTACTTGTAACATTTGCAGTAATAGCAGGAACAATTTGTTGGAATAAAAATCGGCCGAGCGAATTAACTAGTCAGAGCCGTAGTGAATAATTGTAACTCTTCACCAAGACTGCAGTGTAGGGGATAATATCTCCACGTGGCCGAACGTCCCCACTAATTGTCAGTTTTCTGTACAGCGGGATTGGCACTCGGCCGCGCATATATTATATACATAGACTGTCTGCCACGTGTCATTTGCCAAGGGATTGGATAGAATGTGTGAGATTAAAGTCAATTGCTACTGAGTGCTGGAGAGCATTTAGAAGATGTTCTACTTGTCTCAGGTCAACCTGAAATAATTGAACATGCTCCGTGATATCTTCTGTCTGCTTAACACAATGAATCATAACATATCCATCTGTCCCATTCACCCTCTTCAATCCATTGCATCATCACTGAACTCATTCCCTCAAAATGTTAGATGTGCCTCCTTTACTATCGCAATGTTTTCCGATTCGAAGTCAGGGATCACTCACCCATCTAGTGAGTGTTTGCTCATCTTAAGGAAGGTGTATCAGTGTCCATAACTCATCAGCCCATTGAAGAATATGTGAACAGCCTGGGCGGTGCAATTACCTAAGTCTGACAGCTGCATTGCTCTCTTACGCGTATTTATTAATGTTTTCTGACCAAATACTCAAAGAATATTAGGAAAATAGATAGACATTTACGTTTTCCATGGCAAAATTGAATACTCAGACATTATATCCATATCTCTACCATGTTATTTGCAAGGAACATGAAATAAATGGTCCCTATTTATGCTGTGACTAATTAATACCTTAATACATTATAAATAGAATGCCGTTTTTAATACACGTTACTTAAATTTTCATTTTCTTGATATATTTCTACAGTGTTCCCCTAACAACGGAAACATTAACATTGTACAGTTTCAGAGGATGTCAGGCCATGGATCACAGAACACCAGGCAAACAAAATAAAAATCTATTGTGTCATGTCACTTCCAAAGAACACGAAGGACACAATATTCATTTATTCCATATGCCTGCTACGAAAACACATAATTTTCAATACATTTTCTCAATGTTCTGTTTCAATTATCTACATATACCTGGCTGAATGTTTGGCCAGCCATATCAGTGTTCGGTCGTGTCGGCAAATGTATCACATGGAATGATATATTCTGTTTTCCCACATTAATGATAATAAAATAGTTCCTTTGACCGAGAGCTACTGGACCGATACTGATCTGTTACCATAGCTGACCGAGGGGTCAGTGCAACGGCCGACAAAGTCGAGTTACCGATCTCAGTCAATTTTATGACCACCAGAGGTCACATGGTCATGACCGACCGAGGGATCGCAGGGTCATGACCGACCTAGAGGTCACAACGTAATTACAGACCGAGGGGCCACATGGTTGTGACTGACCGAGAGGTCGCAACGTCATTACCGACCGAGAGGTCACAATGTCATGACCGACTGAGGAGTCACAATGTCATTACCGACTGAGAGGTCACAACATCATGACCGACCGAGGAGTCACAACGTCATTACCAACCGAAGTGTCAAAATACTATCATGGGCCAACCCATCATTTTCAACTACTGACATCCATGGGCCCACCCAATAATGGAGCAATAGTAGCATTACTGGGCTAACCCGTCACTTTCAACTACATACACCCATTGGCTATAGGCTATACTAGTACTATGGGCCCATCCGTCAAGATCGGGTACTTTACTAACTACTGGCCCATCCATGTATTACCTGTACAATATGCCCATGGGCCCACATGGGATGGCCCGTATAGTATGGGCTATTGTCCCACTGGGCTGACCGTAAGGTATGGGTATAAGTTACTGCAATATGTGCTCTGGATCCTCATCTACGCGCGGTGTAGAGATACAACAATTGCTGGGCACTACACAAAGTAAGTAGCCAGCAATATAAAAAGTTGTGGTCGTGCACAGCCTAGTCTGCTATACTTGCAAGACAAGTGCGTTCGACCCGAGGGGTTAGCTATTTGGAATGGTCTGTAGTTAGTGAAATGATAAAACGGTCAAAAGTCCGAGTGTGGGAAACAAAGTCCGAAGGTATATCTATGATGTCTGATGCCAAAGTGTTGGGTCCGATGTTTTCGGGTTTCGGGTTAGTGGGTTTCGGGTGTGGGTTTAGCGGGTTAGTGGGAATGGCGATAGCAAACGTCGGGAAAGCGAGCGGTATGCGGATATATGATAATGATGGGTATTTCGGATAGAAAGAGCGGTAATATTCGCAATGTCAACTAAGAACTACGAAATATCGGGTTTGACCACTAAGTATCGGGGAACGGCTCCCTACTACTTGGATAATCAAAATACTTGTAGTCAGTCCAATATATATATAAGTACGTAGAAATACGGAACCCTATAGGCGAAAGTAGCGGCCGACGATTTCGGGTCCAAAGTACATGTAAACTAACACGAGGCGCTGCGG